CGTGCATCACATGAGCAGGTAAAATTCTTCTGGATGCGGTGGTGTAAATATGCTTCGATAATAATAACGACGAGCTAAGATGAGTCTGAGGGGGTGGATATCTTCGAAGACAGTATGCAACGCAATGACGAACAAACAACGACAACATTGAAACAAAGCCAAGTTAGCGCCATCCGGCGCTTCAACAAGGCGAAACCATCCATAACCTCATGACTTTGACTAGAAGAAAACCCAACACCAGTCCCTTGCATGCCAGCCTTCATTTCTTTCCAACCTCATCCTCTTCTTTGTCCTCCTCTTGATTCATAATCATCTTTCGGTCCATCAAAAAAGGAAGCATGGGTGATGGGAACGCTCGAAAAGAAGTCTCATCTCATTACCAGACCATACATTAAAACACATCACATCAAGGTCTTCTTGGGACCTAAACCAAAACCCATTCACTACCTCTCTTGATGAATTTATCCAGCATCAGGGTGACATCGGTAAGGACAAACCGACAGATGTAGAAACCGAAGAACTCGGCGGCGTGGCGCGTGGATAGCTCGAGACCGACATGTGTAGGGGAGGAATGCTTGAGACCTGGATCTTCGACTTGGCGTGCGATTTGGTCTAAGGGGTTTTGTTAGTATACGCATCATGGTGAGAAGATGTGAAAGCATACCTAGTATCTGGACCGCATCGAATAACCGCGCCAAAGAACCCATATAGCTTGCATTGGGACCCTCAAACACAACACCGGAAATGTCTCGCTTGGCAAAGCGGATGCTTGGGAGGTTTGTCATGGGAAGCGTCGACATGACTAGACTGTCCTTGGGTACTTCAGCACCCTTGGTACCGCCGGCCATGCCAGCAAGGTTGACGCCGGAGTTCTTTGATCGGAGTTTCCGCCAAGATGCAAGATACGACTTGCCCTGAGCAACAGCACCCTTGGCAGTGTGGTCTTGAGACCCATGCTTTCCGACACCATCAGCTGACGCCGCACCTTCGCCAACTGTAGTCGCGTCTCTGAAAAGTGCAGTTACGGACTGCACACCGACTTCGTTGCCTAGTTTCTTCGCTAGCTGGGTTTGTACCTGATCAAGCACTAGCTCCAGAGACTGCATCTCATCAAGTACAGCGTCTGCATCGTTCGTATCCACAGACGCTAGCTTCTGCAAGGCAGCTGTAAGCATATCGCAGCTGGCAGTCTTGTCTTCGATGTTCTTTAGCTTAACGCCCTTTACTCGCCAGACATCGCGAGGAATAAAAAGCTTAGTTGAGAGGTATCCACCGCGGGGATGTGCAATCGTCTGGTAGAAGCATCGCATTAGCCAGAACGGTCTCAGTAGATACGAATCCGGACATGGCTCCAGGGGTATCGGTGCGTTTGTGACAGCTGGGCTTGGCGAACCGGGCGAAAACGGTGAGTGGATATCACTCTCAAACAAGTGCATCCCTCCACTCGGTAGACCATCAACGTTGAATGTGGGGATGCTAGGTGTTGGCATTACTAGTCCGGCATTGCTGGGTTTCCGCCCCGTGATGGAGAAGGTCGTGCTGAGTGGCGTTCCTATGGACGCATCTGAGCCATCTGGGCTGGATATTGACAAATTGCGCTGCTTCAGGCTAAGGGAGGATTTGTTCTTCCGAATTCCCATGGCTGAGGTTTTCCCAGTCTTTGGTGAACCTGGCACAAGACCAGCCTCGTTGGATACAGCATGACCAAGGGCGGGCGTCGCTGGTGAAACAGTGGCAGCAGTCTCGGCAGGACTGTAGAGGGGAGGCTGAGGCGATGGAGCTCGGAGGCCAGATTGTTGGGACGCTTGCGGCAGCGCGGGCAGTTTGAACGCTGAGTCTAATGTTGGCTTAGTAGTGCTGAATGTTGGTGCCGCAGACTTGGGCTGGACAGGAAGATCGGTAGGCGCGTCCTTAGCTGGCACCGGAGGCTTCTCCGTATGCGGCGCTGGCGGGACTGGGGGTACAGAAGTCTCGATTTTTAGAGACTTTGCGTTTTGGCCTGATAGTCTCCGGCTTCGTACTGAGGCTGCGTCCTTGGTTGCGGTGGTTGGTCGTGGTGTAATTTCTGCTGTGTCAATCGTTTGCGATGCTTGTGATTCCAGAACAGGAGGCAATGCAGGCAAAGCACCAGATGGAGCAGGCGCGGAGGGAGGGGCATGTGTGGATGACTGTTTGGATGTCGGGTGTATCACCTCCGCAACCGTCGAAAGTGATGTACCACCCGTCGTTCTGTGCGAGGATACTGAACTGTTGTACGTGCTTCCAGAAAAGCCACTCGAGTCCGACTGCCGCGGTAATGACGACTTTGTCTGTAGATCGAAATCGAAGCCATCGAGCATATACTCTCTCGTCATCTCATCCAATAACCGCTCTTCCTCATCCGCCTCGTCGTTGAATCTTATCTCAGCACTTTCGCGCACGTGTGGGAGTCCTTCGCTCCGAAGCTGCGTCTCCTTGTAACGATACTTGGCTGCAGCGATAGCTTCCTCCCGTTCGGCTTCACGTACGCGCTCTTTGGCTAGTTCCACGTTTCGCAGCTTCGTCGCTATCATATCGGCAGGGGTGGACATGTCGTCATCGTAAGGTTCGTAGCCGTCGTCGTACGCAGCTTCGACAGCTGCGTCAAGCGCCGCGTCAAATTCTGCCTCGGTTCCTCCGCTTGCGTTTCGTAGATGCTTTCGGCGTACTCCTCCAGGAGACATGGAATGCACTGAGGATGAACACGACGAGCCTCCAGACTCGTCTATAGTATCAAGCCATGATGTTGACTCGTTGCTGTGTACTCGCTGATGGTTCGTCTTGACTGTCTGTTGCGGTTGCAGTAACCGGCCATATTCTCCGGGCTCAGAGTCGGTCTTTCCACTAAGGAGAGGAGACTTGGACCGCTTTGGAGACAGTGGCGGAGGCATGTATACACGGTCCATCATTGACTCGGCAGTGGAAGATCGGACAGACGAGGTAGAAGGGGCAAGTCGCCCAGGCGGGGGCTGAAGGTTGAACTGCGGATTCTGCATGCCTCTTTGCACATCGCGGATAGCTGTGGATATGACAGATTCACGAGGACCTTCGAAACCTGAACGAAGGGGCAATTGCTGTAAGGGAGCCGATGTTGGCTCGCCCATGGAGGGGGTATCATATATGGAACGGTCGTTAACTATGCGGGATACTGTGGCAGTCTCAATGACTGCAGGCGGCTCGTCGTCATCCAGGAGCAGCATTGAGCGGTGTTCGTCCAGCGATTCCCCGCTCATAGGACGAGCCGGTAGCGATTTGCCACTGTGGTTAGTGTAGCCAGGATCTAATCGTCGTAGCTCTTCTATGCGGTTGGTATACGTTACTCGCTACCTGGGTTAGCACCGGGGTTCTGGACAAGGTTTAGACGTAACTTACAATAGCATCCAGCTTCCGCCTGTCCTCCTCTTGCGAGCTGCGGATCATGACCTGCTGGAGGAGCTTGCAGGCATCCTCGTACGCCTCCATGGCGCCCTCGAAATTTTGCGCATTGTCGAGCAGGACAGCTGTGTTGGCCTTTTGCAGGGCGCGCGACAGCATTGTCTTCTTGTCCTTCTCCCTCCGCTCGCGTGTGCGGGGAGGAGTGCCCTGGTGGCCGTCGTCTAGCCTAGCGCTGGCGTTGCTTTCGCTGCGAAGGTGATCCCTGCTGGGGCTCCGGGCGTGGGTTCTGCTGGCGGATCTGAACTGTTCTCTGCTCTGGCTCCTCGAGTGGTCCCGTGAGGCGGCCTGCCTGTGACCCGCGCTCGGCGGGGGCTTTTGGGCGTTCTCCTTGGGTGCCGCAGCGATCGATGGTCTTCGTCCTGTGGAGGGCCGACCTGGGCCCGAAGTGGAGTCGGCCTCGTGGAGGACCGCAGGCGACCCGAGAGGCGACTTGCCCAATACTCTTTCAGCCTTTGTGGTGCGCGAGGGAGGCCGCTGGCCAGGCGGGGGCTGCGTGGGTTTCGAGTTGAAGTAGTCGCGTGGCTGGTTTCCGGAGAGCAGGTTCGGGGTAAAGAGGCTGGATGCAGAGGGTGAGTTATTGGTAGTCGAAGTGCTCGTGGGAGTGTTGGGGTCGTAGACGGTTGAGGGTAGGAGTATCGGAGGCAGCGAGGGTATCTTTGGGGGCGCCGTCACAGACGACGGGGGGTCGTAGACGGGGGAGCGAGGGCGGTGTCGGCGGGGACTCGACGTGGGCGAGCGTGAGGGCGATTGCGGGTGCGGTGCAGATGCATTGGCGGTGGTGGGGGTCGTGGCAGGCAGGGTGGTGGTGATGCTCAGCTTGCGCGAGAAACTGGGGTGGTGCTGGTGGTTGGCGTGCGGGTGTTGGTGGTGTGTATCGCGCCGCTCCTGCTGGTCCCGACTGGCAGTCGTGGTGCTCTGAGACCAGCGGTTCAGACTCGCAGAGGCAGTTGAGCCGTCCCGCGAGGCTGCAATGCCATCTGCTGCGCCGTTGGCAGCGCTGGAGCGGCGTCTGGACGAGGCCGGGGGCGGTGTGGCCCGCTTGTGGGGGGGTTTGGTGGACGAAGACGGCGATTCCGCGTTGGAGTCCCTCAGCGAGGCGGACCGGTGCAGCGACGACGACGAGATGGAGCCACTGCGCGACGACTGGCGGCGGTGCGAGGGATTATCCGGTTGGGCGGTCGTGGTGTTCATGTTGGTTTGTCGACTCCCGTCGGGGCAGGAATGCGTGTCTCAGGCCAAGCCAGCGGTTAATGCAATGCGCATGCAGGCATGGTTGCCGCAAGCAGGAACGCGCTGGGGCAGGCGGCGATGATGCGGCGAGGCGTGGCGGGCGGCGTCTTCGGTGCTGTCGTGCAATGGTGCTATCTATCTTGAATATGTCGTACGTACAGCGACGAGAGACGGCCCTGTGGAGCGACAATGCCGCCAAGGAGAAGGGGTCTTCCAAACACGGCCTAGTCTGCCCATGCTAGATACCCCTGTCCGGCCGACCCGGCTCCCTCTCCTCCCATGCTCCGGACGAACACCCGACTCAGACCAGCGACTCTCTATGCTGCACGCAACCGCTCTGCTTCAGGGGCCCAGGGCACCGCATCGCCGAAGTAGTCGTCGTCCTGACTCGTGCGCCGCCTGTTGGGGGTGCCTGAGTCCATGACCCTCTGCCCGCGACATTGCGTTTCAGACTCGTCTTCCCAATTGCATCCTGGCCTCTGCTGCAGGAACTGACTAGGTCCTGGCCCTATCGACTAGCCTTGTGGCTGCGCTCGATGGACGCCCACAGTCTGCCTGCCTGCATTCCACACTAGGTTCCTGACTTACTTTCCCACTAGAAACATGCCCTACTGTCCTCTCATCTCTCCATTGTAGATCTGTCGTTCCTAGTCCATCTTCCAGTCTGCGCATACAGTACATCATGCTTCTTCCCTGTTCCCCGCACCTCCATCTCCATTTCCCATCTCCCACGTAGCAAAAAAAAAACATGCATTGCTTACTCCCGCAACGCCTCCTACGCCGCGGCAGCCAAATGCGATATCGCCTTTGCCATGTTTCGGAATGGCATTGTTGCCCTGGCAAACAAGTGAAAAAGAATCCTCACGTCCCAACATTTACACAACCCAACGCGTTCGCCATCGCGCTCATGGCAGCCCGACGCTCGAACATTGTAATGTGTCATATCGGTCCGTTTGCCACGCGCGCCAAGTCCCATTGCTATCAAACACGCGGTCCCAGCATCGCGGTTGTCTCGCGCATACGATAATGATAATGACCTGATACTGACACACGCCTACTTGTCTGACACGAAAAGCACCTGCAACAAGCAAAACTTCATCACGCATCTTCTCACATACATGACATAGGTGGCTTCGTGATTTCTTTTTGCTCATATGCACGCCACGACGAGCCAACCGGCTGCACGACATTTATAATCGTTTTCGCCTCTCCGCAGCCTCCTCCAGGCTGCTTGCCAGCCTTCGTGGTCTGACCACGATCACGTCTACCGTTCGGGTCCACCATTTCTCGTTTCATGCATTACCGTTATCGCGTCATGGACACTGCTCATGCTCAACCCTGCAAAACAATCAATCGAAGCACCACTAGCCGCTTAAGCTCCACTTGTCCATCTTCAAGTGAGCTTGTAATCCACATGTCATATGCTTACTCCATCGCTGTTTTTCTTCAGTGCAGGTCAACCATCATGTCCTCCTCCGCCTCGAGACTGTCGTCCCATGCTGTATCCATAGCATCGCCGTTGTTGTTGCTCTGCCGCTTACTCAACCGTTTCTGGTTCTCGACGTACTCTTTGGTGAGCGTCAGTCGGTAGTCGGCATCCTTGACTTGCTCGGCGAGCATGTTGGTACGACGCGTCTGCTCAAACAGGGCTTGCTGTTGCTGCTTCTCGCTCTTGGCTAGAGGCCCCTGTGTTGGATCTAAGAAGAAACGTAGTACGATCCCCGCGTTCGACTTGTCCGTCTCCTCTAGTCGTGCGTTCAGGTGCCCATCCTTGATCAATGTGTCAATGTATCCGGCGATCTCATCCGCGGAAGCCCCCAAGTGGCCGGCAATGTTCGAGACTGGAATTGCCGAGTATGTCCGTGATAGCCGCGAAACGTAGGCCCGTGTTTGGCTGCTGATGAGCTCGTTGACGAGGCCTGTGTTGCCATCCTACATGTCTTGTCAGCGTGTGCGCAACAAACCGTGAACGTTTTGTAGTGTCTCATAACCATACCTCTGCCCAGATCTCAGACCCTGCTTGCACCTGGGCCTTCAGCTTGGACATGTTATCCAGTTCCTCATACGCCTCTGCCAAAGCTTCGTATGCTTTCGAAGCAGCCTTGATGTTCTTGATCGCATTGCCGTTCGAAGTACGTGGGCAAGTTCCCATCTGCACATGTCAGCTCGTTCCATTGCAGACTGCTCAACTGTGACATACCTTTCCCTCGACAAGACAGCTCACTAACGCCCACTTCCTATACGCCTCCAGCATCAGACCGTTCGCGGTATTGGCCGTAGGTATGACCAACACATGTTCGAGGAAATGTTGCGCCTTCTTGAACTGGCGAATTCCCAGATATGCTTGGGCTCCTAGAACGTAGTATTCCTCTATTTCTGACACCGAGAACTTGTCTGAATGCCCAGAATGCTGATGTATATACTCTCCGCTACTCGCGACATCCGCACATGGCACTGAGTACTCGAGGCCGTCACGGGCAACGGTCGGCATCCTCAGAGGAATAGTGTGAATGTAGTTGTCGAGGATGGGTTCGGCGGCCGCGTACGATCGTGTCTCGCAACATAACTGTACGAAGAGGAGGTGAATTGAAGTGAAGGTGCCTGTGGTAGGGTCGAGTCGGGTCATAGCTGACCGCATCGGTGCAATAGCAAGGCTCGGCTATAGTCGTCAGTATCTCCTCCTAGCAGAAAGCATCTCGTTGAGCATACCGATCCGCATGCGCGCGCAATTTGTTCTAGATATTCTACCAGTGTTCTCCATTCCTTTCCAACATATCGCAGCTGTATAGGATCCGCAGTCTCGAGAAATAGTACTAGCTGATTCCATAATGAACCTCCGGGCTGCAGTGTGTCTGGGATATTCCTCTTCTCGACAAGGGTAGAAATGCGGTGGCGGAGGGCAAAGGCGTACGCTATTGAGTTGACGGCAGGGTTAAGTATCTAGAAAGTCAGCTGTTTGCAGGCCGATACGATATGTTTTCCTTACCGAGAGAACATCTTGTTGTGTATCTGCGCCCTTGGTCCAAGATGTCGATGAGATGTTGGATAGTTGTGAGACAAACTGGCGGGCCTTGGTGTCATAATCGCGCCTCTTCGCGAGCTCTGGGCTGTCCGGTTGGAACGAAAGCAGTATGGTGGTGAGTTCGGCCGACATGGTCGCGGCAGCGTGGAGCGATGTCGTAGGTTGAGCACGTATACAAGGCGGCGGGCGGCGAGGTGGGGTATCGTGTTGCTATTGCCAGTGGGCACCTAGTGCAATATGGTTATTCGGCTTCCAGTAAACTTCCTGTAGCTGGAAGCAGGTGTCTGGTTAAGCAGTGAGGAGGAAGGCGTTGTTGCTGCAAGACGATCTTTGAGTTCAATTGTTTGTACAGGCGGAGGTGTCAAGCTCCCCGCGAGCTCAAGGCATCTACGCACGGACGGGCCCCTCCCCCTCGTCACCTTTACCTTTACTATGGTGGTGCACTTCAACATGATCTCAAGACGAAGCAAAGCAAGAACGCATAAGTGAAAAAGTGCATGGTCATTCAGCGTCATTCATCTGTGGTATCGTCTATCCAACAACGCCTAGAAAACAATCCAAACCCAGAACGTTATACAAACGGGCAAAAGCGTAACTTTATCTCTTCTTGACAGCTTCCTCCATACGCCTTATCAGGACCTTCAGGCCGACACCCTTCTCGCAATTGCTTTCGAGGAACGCCTCCATTTGCTCTCTGACTTGCTTCATACCCTTCAGTACCGGCAATCTTCTCCCCTCTTCACCATCAAGATGCATAAGCGGGTTAAGGAGCAGATCGAAGCACTCGTGCCAAATCTCCGTCTGCCAGTATCGCTTCAAGCTCTCCTTGATCTTGTACGTTTTGGTCGCGCCAGCACCGAGAGTTGCGCCGCGCTCAGCTATCGTAGAGATATACTTGCCAAATAGCAAATTGTGGACTATGCCAGCAAGCCCGTGATAGTCGATCTGGTAGGTCCAAGGACGGAGTTCGCGCATCTCTGCACAGTCGGCTTCTGTAGTAGGCCAGTCTGCGATGAACTGTACATCTGGCTTGAAGGCCTTCATGTCAATGCCACGGCCGAAATCGATCAGCGAGACACCCTTCGCAGACCAGCCATCACGCCCGTCGCGCTTGTACTCCGAGTCCCAATGCTCGTCCTTTTGCAAGGCATCAAACCGAACGAGAATGTTGTCAGACTTGAGGTCACCGTGTATCACACCCTTGGAATGAAGGGCCTCCACCGTGCGGAATAACTCGATAGTGAAGAACATGGCAAGTTGCTCGTCCATGACACCGTTTTCCCCACGAGAGAGGTTTACGAGATCCAAAAGAGTACCTTGGTCTCGATACTCTTCCACAAGATAACACTCGTCTTTAAAGACGTGCATCTCGTACGCGCAAACGATCGAATCAGCAGCTCGAGACACGCCTAGTCGTCGCTTGGCTTGCCGCATAATGTAGAATTCCCACGGCGTTGGCGGATCCTCCATCTTGATAGCTTCCAGATCCTTCCGCTTTAGGCCGAATTCGCCCTTGCCCATCTGCGAAGGTTTGTTCTCGTCGTCCTCGTCCTCGGAATCTTTGCTCTCTACCAGATACACTGGCGCAAAAGCTCCTTTGCCAAGTTCACGTTTGACGGCATACGTCCGCTTTGTTCCCGGGAACTGCAGAGTAGGACAGAGAGCAAGGTTTGTGGAAGTCTTCTCCGCCTTGCTCGTTTTGACGGACTTGGTGTACTTGCGTATATCAGCACCCTTTCCGTAGCTCTCTTCGGTGTCTGCGTAGTATCCGTCGTAGCTATCTAGTGGCGGCTGGATTTCTTGCAGAATGGTCTTGCGGACGTTCTCGTCTACCGGATTACACTGCGCGTCTTTGATGATTGAACCGCTAGCCTTTGGTGCTTTAGACGAAACCTCCTTTGCAGCCAACGGTTTCCGTTGCGGTTCCGCGATGGGCTCTTTGGGTACTGGCTTCGATTCTGTCAGGGCGAGTTTCGCGACTTTCCCTGAACCGTCAATAACTTGACTTAAAAGATCTGCAAAGGGACTACTGCAAGTCTCATCCTCGTCGTCATCCTCAAGAATGTCAGTTGTACCTTTCGATCTTGACGGCGTCTTGGTAGCAGCGCTAAAATAGTCCTTCTGTGCATAAGCAGTGGCGATGCCCAAGGACGACTCCGTCTTCTCAACAATCGGTGTCATGAATGGCAACCGATTGTTCGCAGCCTGTATCGGGTCTCGATAGGGCTGCATTGCTGGGACATAGTCTTCTGGTGGGACAGGGACAAAGCGAGTAGGTAGTGAAGCAGGTGCTGAAGGTGAGGTAGGGGTGACTACATCAGATTCCCGTTGCCGTTCGGAGTCGACATCTGGACGTGTCAACTCATCAAACGAGTCGTCATGAGAATGCTCGGAATGTTCGGACTCATCATCTGATCCATCGTTTTCATGATCCTTAGGCACGTATTTGCTCTCAGTGAAGTCTGACCATGCAGAGGCACTCTTGGTGTCTGAATCATTGGCATCACTTTCTTCTTCATCTTCATCTTCATCTTCATCTTCATCTTCATCTTCATCTTCCTCTTCCTCTTCTTCGGTGTTGAGAACCCTAGTGCCGAGTGTGAAATCTCCCACTGTTGTCTCGTCTCCGAATTCGCTCGTAGCGCACGATATGCGACCAGTAGCAGTACTTTCGGCTCCACTCGTATAGTCATCCTCATCGTCCCCACTGCTTTCTTCACCACTTTGGACCTCGGAGACTTCCTCATCAGCGTTCTTTAGTGGTTCGTTGAAAATATCGTATATCTCGTCCATGGCCTCCTTGGTGTGGAGGGTCATTGTCGTTTCTGGGCCAGTCTTCTTTCGCCGTATCTTTGGCTTCGCCGGAGAATCCAAGTTGGCTTGGACTGTTCCTTGTCAGTGTACAAGTGACAACCAGATGTCCAGCCGATCACTTACTTGTCTGAGTCTCCCCGCGAACTTCCTTGACCTCCATAACCTTGATCTTCCTAGTTCTGTTGGCCCGCTCTTCTCGTCTGGCTTTCTTAGCTGCCCTTGCTTTGTCTACATCTGCTTGTGAAGGTGGCGCGTTTTCGTCGTTACCCATGTCGTCATCAACACTACCTTTCAAGGGTACAGTCTTCGGCTTGGGGGGCTGTTCATGATCCTGCTTAGGCGCTAGAGGTGCGGCCTTGGTCTTTGGTCGTTCAGCAACCACTTTCTCTTCGGCTGCTTTCTTTGCCCGCTCCTGCTCTTTGCGGCGAATGGCATCCCAATCATGATCCATCCACCCCCTGTACTTAGCTCGCAGTTCTTCAAATGAGTATTCCTCCGACATAGGATCTTCATGGTTAGGGTACACTTGCTCTAGATCTACGAAGACCACTTCAAGTCTACCAGTCCTTGGGTTGACCGCTTGTTGATATTCACGCAATGGGTGGGGGCTGACATTTTCGTCATTGGGATTCGATTTGGTCTGAATACATGCATGGCAAACGCCCACCAATTAGTCCTGTGGTCGTAAATATATGGAGGGGCTGATGTAGGCAGATCAACTCACCTCATCCTTGAAAATCGACATTTTTGGAACGCCAGTGTTCTTCTTTCCAACCTTCAGAGTCTCACCCGCCCAGGGGCGTGCTTCGGTCGCGTTTTCCTTCTTGCGGTCTGCGAGCGATCCAATGCTGTCCCACCCCTCTGTGCTACCTGTCGAGCCAGGTCTTGCGGCATCATCACCGTCAGAGAAGATTGCAAGTTTGGGCTTTCCTGAGCGAGATGCACCTCCAGCGGTCTTCGGCTGGCTCTGTGGTTGCGGGCTGGGCGCACTGGGTGACGCAAGCGCAAAAGGGTCCATCTTAGCGGCAAGGGCTGGACGAACGGCGGGGAGTGCGGGGCTTGAAGGTTCGGGAGCCTCCTGAGGGCGGCTTTCGAGACGGTGCTGAAATTCTCCGTACTTGCGAATCAAGCGCTCAACTGGGCGGGCTTCGCGGTCGATGCCCAGGTTGTAGATCTCCTCTGCTTGTGTGAAGCGGCCTGCGCCTTCTAACCAGGCCGCAAATTCTTCGTAGAATAGCGCAAGGTTCTCTCCAATATTGTGTCGCGCCAGGTAGGCGAACGTCTCCCGCGGCGCGTCTGAGAAGAGGTGAATGTAGTGTAGCCAGAGCTTGAGGTAGCGCGCGTCGTTCTTGTACTCCGGTGAGGATTGGAAGGCTTTCGTTGCGCGCTCGAGGAGCGGACAAAGTTGCGACTGAGGTGTGTTTTGTGCGGACGGGTATGCTTCAAGCGTCCACTTTACATAGCGGGTGTAGATCTGGATTCGTGTGCACAAAGTCAGTACATGTCTCACCACATGCAGTTCGTGTATTGGTACTACTGACATCGAGTGGGTCGTCGGAGTCGTCAATCGCCATGAGCTCCTTCTCGAATCCGAGGCGAGTTGCGCTGTGTTCATCTTGCATCTGCGACGGGGACCGAGTTTGGCCAGCGGCCGAAGTCAACGGTGGCGTGTAAAGCTGCGCGAGCGCTCTTGCAGAACGTCCGCTGGGCAGACTCTGGATGTTTTCCTTTTGATTCTCAATGACTTCGAAGTCAATAAGATCGTCAGAACCCATGGCGCCGGTAGGGGTATCACAAAGAAACAAGAAGAAAAAAAGATGGGTATCAAAGTCCAGGTACAGAACCAAGAGTCTTACCCGCTGTCGTTGTTGCTCGAATCGGATGTGTATACACTGGGCATAGGGTACGCGGGGCTTGCATGGGAAATAGCACGCTTTGCCCGAAACGTTCCATGTTTCTACGGCAACGGGGCCGCCACTTCCAAAGCCACGCTAAGACGCACAGACAGTGTATGATATAACACAGGCTCACCACAACTAACGTCTTGACTGTCATTGAGGCTGATCCTCGATGCAAACAGGTAGGCGTACTTCGAGTTAACTCGACGAGAAGCATATAGACGCTGAACCGGGCGCTATTTCTAGGCCTGTTTTGGTTCTGCTCAGCATGTCTGGTCTCACCCAGTCTAAAGTTGAGATCCTATGCTAGAGCATATAGCACTCACTGATAGAGACATCTGACCCAGTGACAAGGTTCTCTCTTCTATACGTCATGAGTACGTGATCGCTCCTCTCAGGGTGAGTCTTATGATACCAGTCTTTGGTAGGTGCGTGATAGCCAGCGCGTTGTTCGTAATTCTGATATTGTAGGAAGAGGACTTGATGAATAAGAGGGAAGGGGAAACGCGCAGGCATTTACGTGCATCTCTCAACTTGTATCCAGAGTCACGCTCGATATCAGCAGAACCTTCGCCAAAAACGTCACAATACAAAATACATGTCAAAGTCAAGTGTTAAAAGCATATACAAGCATGTTAAGAATGTCCGAAGACAGCTACTGATTCTCTACCAGAAGGTGACTTCCTGCCATTACCAATGTTCGCCTTCAGTGACTCTCCAGCAATAACAGCATGACAGTATGACCAAGAAGAAAGGCGTCAGGACAAAATAGAAAATCCAATAGAATAACTCCAGACTCCCGCTATTATACGATCGATTTGGTATATCCCTAAAACGACAGCAAAAAGCCAAATACACGCAAACAAAGAAAATGACTCAAAGGAAAATATATGCCGGATCGGGGTATCCCAAGGAAGTTCGAGCAGAAGCTCCGATTGGTATCATATGGAAAGCGACAACAAGAGCCTCCACCTTTGGCAAATTTCTGGAGGAAAGGCTGGAGGGGAAAAAGCAAAGACCGAGACTTGTCATGGGTTACTGGAGCAAAACCAGATATATATATCATTCGCGTTCAATCGTAGGAGATTCGTTATGTTCTTCCAAGTCGTGACATCGTTGCGCGTACTTGTGAGGTTTGAAGTAATGTGATGATGTGTCGTGTGGATCAGTGGGTAACGATCAGCTGACCTAAGACCGGTTCTCGACGGCTTGCTGCTCGCCAGTGGCCACTGCTACAAGCGCTTCTAAGCGTCGCATGTCGTTGTTGGCTGTCTGCGGCAGTGGCTGACCGAACGTTGCGGGTCCCCGCTCGGGTTCGCGCTGCGGGCGATAGCTTGAGCTCGAGCTCGAAAGGCTATGGCTATGGTAATGTTGCGGAGGCTGTGAATGCAAAGGGTGGGGCCTCTCCATAATTGACGCTGGTGGCGCGGTTTTGTAATCTTCAACAACTGCTGGCGCTTCCACATACCCGTTGCTGTGGACAATAGCAGGGTGATAGTCGATCATAGTGCCTGGCGTCGGCACACCTTCGCTGCTACTGGAGTCCTCGGGCGACGTTCTCTGCATAGCTCTTTGCGGCTGACTGACAGGTCCATTGTACCAGGCTTGTCGCTTGTTCTTTCGAGGTGTCACTGGCTGTTCCTGCGAGGTTCTGGGCGAGGCGTTAATTGGAGGAATCTGAATAGGCTGAACATTGGAGGGTTGACGACTGAAGTAGCCATGAGGGGCTGTCGTGGGTCGTGCAGCGTTTGCTCGGCCTGCGCTGCCAGGGTATTGTTGTGACCACTGATTACTTTGAGAACCTGGGCTAGCAATGTTCAGACGGTCGATTTCCCATGAAATGCTCGTTCGTTTGTGGTGACCTCTATTGGACGTGTGCTCCATTGGCGCGTGATAAGTAAGCGGACGTGCCGGAGCATCAACTTGCATCGGACTTGGCTGACGCCGAGGTAGCGGAGGCGGAGGCGGAGCATGGTCGAAGCTTTCGATCCCTGGGAGTCTGGTGGTCTGAGAAGCAGCAGGCTGTGAGGTGTATAGAGGGCGTGGAGCATCCGGTGTCTGGTGGTATCCAAGTCCACTAGTCGCTGGTCGAGGACCAGTATAAACTCCTGGGTGCCAAGTTCGTCGCCTCCAGTCCGCCTCCGCATTCGAGTCTCTCCTTGATTCTGGAAATTGGGAAGCTGTAGGGCTTGCATATGCGCTGCTTTGTGCTGAGTAGGCAGGGGCAGCAGTCGGTTGTAGAGGCGTAATGTAGGTAGGAGGAGCCTGTCCTGGTGCACCGGAGAAAGGATTGCCACTGGAAGAGATAGATTGGCGGCGTCCTGGGGGCGGTGGTCCAGCCCATGAGACTGGCCTTGATGAACTTGATACAGGAGACTGCATAGCAGACCCGAAGCGAGCGGGGCTACCAGTAACTGTGGAGAATGTCGCAGAAGTAGGCGTTGTAGGCGCGTTGGACTGTGTATCGTACTCCACGGGCCCAGGACTACCCATCATGGGTGGGTCATATGCATTCATAGTGTTGAGCGACAAGCGTGCTCTTGCACTTGCACCACCATCGCTAGCCATGGCCAAAGGTGGGGGTCGTCGCCGTATGTCTGGAGATTGTGCCACACTCATTGTCGATATTGTAGAGGTTATACTGGATGCAGAAAGGTTTCTGCTGTGACCTCTGCTGTGACCTCCAGTACTGCCTAGTGTGTTTGCTCGAGAACGATTTCCAGGTGGTCTTACTCGGTCGGTCCGGATCTGCCGTTGGAACCTTGTGCCCGTTGCGGCTAACGATTCAGAGGGTATATCTTCATTGACATGAACTGTTTGAGCATGCTGTCGCAGGTTGTCGAGACGTGAAAATCGTCGTGAGCAGTGACACTGGAAGGGACGTTCACCTGTGTGTTTACTACAGCATGTTAGCGAACGCGGGACAACGCACGATGAAAGACGTACCGAATGTGTCGTGCCAGGTGCTCACTTCGTGTGAAGCTCAGGTTACAAGGCGGAAAGTCGGTGCAGAAGAAGCGCTGTCCCTTCTTCTTCTTGGACGGTCGGTTCGAATCACTAGTCACGCTATCGTTGTCCGATCCATCTTTATCGTCCTCGTCACCATCGCCCATATGCACGTCTTGACCGGAGGCTGTTGACCTATGCGAATCCTCTCTACTCTGCTCACTCTTGTTCGAAGCGGAAGGTGTCTCGCTCAGCTCACGGGCGGGTGTGAAAGGCGATGAAGGCAGTGGTCGCTGACCAACGAGTCCCGCAAAGGTGTTACGTGTAGGCGTCTTAGCTGATGGGTCTTCAGTGCGGATTTCCTCGGCCGCTTTCGATTCGGCAAAGAATCTGCTATTCGGTCGGGGAGTAGTGGGCGTCGTCTCGTCACCTGGGCGACCCTGTGGCGGATCTGGAACCGACAATGTAGTGTTGACTGCTTGGAAGGAAGACATGTTGGAGGGGCCGATGACCAGCAGTCTACAATGTCCACCTCTTGTTCCGTGTCGTGGTGAGCGTGCTGCGCAGGTCGTTCTACAGTGACGGGGCGCGTATAGCTTACGGCGTACACGACAGGACACGGTACGGTAGCGCCAGTGATCTAAGACTGGGACGTTAATGCAAGCGCAGGTCCCAGGTGGGTTGCCTCCAGCGGCGCAATCAGTGTGATACTGCGGGTGGTTCCTTGCTGGAGCGGGTGTGGGAAGGCTGAAACGAGATGATGACGAATAGAGAGCGGCGTTGCAACAACATCCGGACACAGCGCCCAGCGAGCAAAGTCAAGAAAATCTACAAGGTCTGGTTAAGTTCGATCGTTGCGTCGTAAAATCGTCAAGTTGGGGTCGTCCAAAGGCTGACCAGTGGTGAGGGTTGAGCAACCACGGATACTCGGACTTTGGGCTGGGTATGATAAGGCGCAGGATGGACTGCCTCAGGTGGCGGGGAGATTGGCCCCTCTTTGACGCACACTCGATGCGCACAAGGGCTCGAGCAAAAGCGGCAGGATGCGGCTCTTGTAGCGATGCAGCTAGACGGTGCAAGACCCGGGTATGAAGGCAGAGGAACAGGTGTCGACGCAGGAGAACGGGATTAGAGACGAACTCACGATTGCGTCGCAACTGCATGCGAGGAGGGGTTGGTAAGGCACAGGACGGGATCTTAGCGGCTTTGTCGTGCGCCCTGGACGGATGGCCTGGCAGAAGGCTGGGGTTAGAGTCCGATCCACCTTGCGACGAGGGCACATCTTGCCTGCAGATCCTTGGAATTAGCGATGGCTTGGCCCGCCTACCCAGACATGATGAAGCGGTGCAGCTCAGCCCCAGAGCATGCTCGTCCGCCTGTCAGACCACCCACAGTATCGTCTGCGAGCCCTGATGAGCAGCACTCGTCTGCAGTCAAATTATCGGCCATGGGTGTAGAACACGGTGCCATGTCCCACGGCGGGGCTCTCTGGATACCACTGTCTGTTTCCGGTCGCTAACAACGGCCATAGCACATGCTTGCAGCGATGGGTCGCCAGAACCTGACTACTTGGCCTAGGTCGTGCGTTGTGGCCGGGACCTGAGCATGCGCAAGTTGATTATTGATGACGAAACACCTACCAACGCCCACTGCCGCATTTCACGTGCTATCAGAGAAATCGGGGTCATGTTGGCTGACCATGGCATAGCAGCGTCGGCGCCGCTGGCCGGTCCTCAGAGGCAAGTTGCGCGCGCTGGACAAGATCATCATAAGCAGGCCGGCATGGCGTCTGCCTCGAGACAAAGCTGACACTGCCATGCCGAAGCAATTGGTTGACGCGGATAGGCGCTGCAAGCTAGCAGCGTGGGCGAGCGCCGATGCAAGGGGACTCGACCAGGTCCACAGAAAAGTGTTGTACCTTTGTACCTTGCCGAAGCGAAAGACTAGCATCCGTGGTTCTGCCGGACTTCAGCGACTCAAATTTTGCGTCTTGCAGCGCAAACGGCGCCAGAGGCTATTGAACGAGGCGGTCAGCGAACATGGTCTGTCCCATGGCGTTGGGCTGTAGGCGGTGCGTGACAGTTGTTTGCCATCACAGTCCATAGCTCGGAAACGCTGACAGAAAGGCGAAGGACCCAGTGGACCGACTAGTTCCTGGCAAGCAAAATATGATTCGGTGGAACATGGCGGACACACGCGGGATGATACCATGGATCGCGGATATCGTGGTCATCTGCACTTCTTTGCGTGGTCCGTACCATACTTTGCTCGTCTCGTATACTCGCACTACCAGGATTACATTTCTGGTGCCTAGGTGAGATGCAGCATCGCTATTGACACGTTGCTTAGGTGCATATCCACACGAGGAGCGTGCGTTACCTCGAAAGAAAATACTTGTCTTCCATGTTGCTGCAGCTGGTGGCATGGTGAAACACATAGTGTACACGCGAAGCGCAGTGTCCAGAATAGTAGCTTTACCGAACTATGCGGGCTTGTATTAGCGGGCGGACCAGATGTCTGGAAGCATGCGCCGCCAGCAGCGGTGGCGATGGCGATGGCGGCACTGGTGTTGAGGGGTCATTACTCGCGTTCAATCGCGAGCTAACGATGGGTACCTGCCACCAGCAGCCAGGACGGACCGTGATAGCCCGTGCGCTAGTACCGAGGTACGTCCTATCGATTACGAATAGCAGCAGTCGTCCTAGCTCTATACACCAGCACGGGGTTGACCTGGAGTAGATATCGACCCTCAAGTTCACATTCACCCCTCGCCAATACTCGCACGGCAGCCTAGCGCTATGTTCCATTGCCATGCAATTCATGTCGTGTAGCAATGACGGGCAGCACCCTCGCCGCACGAATCGTAGTACAAGCACTGAGCCGAGGCGACAAAGAACGATATGATGAAGGCTGGTATCACATTGCTCTGTTATATAAGTCATGAACTCGCTTGGTGCGACTTCCAGTCACGAACCTACCGCCCCAAGCAATGATGATTTCTTCTCTGTATCTTACGCCAATGCTGCGGAATCAGCTCGCTCAATCCACACCGCCTAAACAACACGTGCCCACATACGTAGTCGGTGCTTACTGCACAACCTAAGTGAGACGTCAGTGTTGTCTCCGAGTACGCAGCTGACTCATTGGTATACCTTTTCCCGGAGTTTGCTGATCCACTGAACGATACTCTCTCCTTGGTCTGCCCGGTCTTCGACAAGTAGTGTTTGCGCCCATAGCTTGAGGCTTGGGTCGCCATCTTCCTTGATGATATACAGGGTAGGCAGAGTGATAGAACCCACGCCCTTCGACTTGTGATCCCTTGACTTCTCCACAACTATCTCATGTCAGCAATTTCAACGGTCTAATTCACCAGTAAAAATGGCTTACCAGCTCGGACTCGCTCCGAGTATTCATTGTCAAGGAGAGGCAATGAAGCCTTGCCCTGCTTCAGTTGTGTACGGTCTTCGACGCCAAACACATCGTTCAGGAGTGCTGGAACAGCATCGCGGCCGATCCATCTAGTTACGTTAGTCTGCGTCAACAGCGAATGTGCATATGCACTTACAAGAATTGGTTGACACCGTCGTCCAGGAGGTACAAGCCATACGGGACGATAGCTGCACTAGAGAGGTTCAATGCGGGTGGCATTGTAATCTGACCAGTAGTAGGCTCTGGTACACCAGCGTCATCAGGCATGTCGTGAAGAGAGTAGAAAGATGGGTAAATGTACTGCGTAAGCAGTCGCAGTGGCAGTGTAGAAAGGAGATCGAGAGCAGCTGATCGAAGATCGCTTGGAATCTGAGCGCTCTTACGAAGACCAACGTTCTTAATAAGACCAAGGAACAATATGGGGAGAGCGCGCAGGTTTTGTGGTAGCTGCAGACCACCACCGCCCATACTTCCACCTGCCAACTCCTTCCTGTAGGTTGACAGAATCTCAATGACCTTGGCCTGCAATGCGTCTCGCGCCGCATCAAGACCACTCGATAATGCTCGCTCAACCGCCTTATGACTGAAATAGGTGGTGATCGCTTGTGCGTCTGCTGAAGCGTAGACCGATGCTAGACTCTCAGTTGTTGGCACCGCAAGAGTCAAAACTCTGATACGACGCTGGCCACTTGAAGTAGTATGGAGCACAGCAGCCTGTAGACAGGCGAATGGCTTGGAGATTGTCTCGTCAATAGCGACTTCGATTACAACAGCTTGGTCTCTGGGGTATGCCGGGAAGGCACAGAGATCAGACGAGCGGTTGAAGAAGTTTCCGTAGAATGCGGACATTCTCAACCCGGTGGTAGCACGTACACGGAGCACAGCCTCTAGACCAATCTCAGCAGATAAGTAGTCTGCCAACTCAGTTGCAATCTTGACAACATCCTCTTGTCTTGCAGCATTCCATCCTGGGTAAAAGTATGTCTGACCGGCGGTGAATCGCGGAAGGTTGCTTAGCGTTGCGACATCCTGGTACTGTGAGGAGAACAGGAACATGTCCACTGAAACCTGGTTCTTGGAGCATTCTACGGCGAACGACTTGTACCAGTTGTTTGCAGGCTGCAACAAACTGCCTTCTTTGCCGGTTCCCAATAATGATTTGTCTTCTCGGGGGCTCAATGCTGCATGGCCAACATTGGGCAGCGACGCGGCAATGACGGTCAACTTTCCACCAAGCGGGGAAATGAGCTTATGTGCGGATCGGAGAGCTGAGCCTAGCGCAAATCCAGGGACGTGAGTGTTCTGGAACATGGTCGGAAGGCGGTCAAGGAAGGTCTCGATGTTGTTGCGGCATTGGCTGAGGCTGACTAGAAGGTCCGAGGGCATGGGAAGGTAGGGCTCATCTAGATCGGAAACCACGAGTTGTTGGGGTTCATTAGATTCGCTGTTGTCTGGAGGGATACCAAAGAAATGTAGCCCATTGTCGACGGCCTATTTCGAGTCAGTATACAGGTGACTTGTGTTCTTTGTGCCCAAAACTCACCATGAATCCGATGCGTGTCCGGCCGTCTGCATTTGGTATCCGGCCGAGGGACTCCTTGATGACTCTGGAGACGACAGCGAGAAGTCCGCTGTTCACTGCTCCCTGGGTACAGTCCAGGAGAATGTAGTAGCACAGAGGCTGTGGAGGGCGGACCATGTATTCCTGGGGTGCAACGAACTCGGTCACTGCGTAGTTCAGCTCGGGTCTCTGCCAGCGGTCGACGCTCTTCTGCTGTGCTGCATCCCAATCGAATGCTTGGGGGACATCGTTGGTCAGGTTGCACATGTTGCACCTCCACCTGTGCCCATGGTCTAGGAACGAGACAAACGGATTAATGTAGGCGCGGCATCGTCGACAACGGCTAATGACCTGGTCGTGTACTACTGGCACAGGGTCCTCCGAGTCGTGCAAACTAGCATACGGGCTTATGATGAGCGCGAATGGAAGTTTGCTCTTCTTGAGCAGCGAGTGGTTGGTAGGGATGGTGTTGAGCGTACATCGCAGGTATTTACTCGACTCGTTCGCGAACTCGGAGGGGGTGGCTGCGGCGTTGGAGGGCAGGTTGATCGGAGGAGGAGGGTTGTATAGTTCCGAGACGTGGAAGGGCTGCGCGATGAGGTCTGAGGGGAACAGTTGGTTCTGCTGAGTAGCTGCGGCGGGCTGCTGAACTTGAGGGGCTGCTTGTCCCTGGCCTATGTTCATCTGCCCGAACTGCTGGTTGAGAGCATTCGGATCTTGAGGCATAGGCTGTCCATAGCCCTGGGCTGGCGCTCCGTAGCCGGGGGCGGGGGCGCCAAATCCAGGAGAGGGAGCGCCATAAGCAGGTGATGGTGCACCGTATGAGGGCGCTGGAGCTCCATAACCAGGTACTACTGGTGGGGGGACTCCTGCTCCTTGGGCGGCCTCTTGTGTATTCGCGCCGAATTGGTATCCTGTTCCCGCTGCGTAGCGATCTCTCTTCTTGCGGTCCGCCATGGCTACAGCAGCGGAGACTGTGAGTGGAAGAGGTGGGGAGTAGTGGTGGAGAAATTGGCGGTGTTCGTGGGCTTGCGCGTGAATTTAGAGATGAGGTAGAGCTCCATGTGTCTTCTTGGGGAACGGCACATTCCGCGCTAAGAGTCCCCGCCAAAACGTGTGCACGGACAACTCTAGGGTTGAGGTGGGACCTACATCGGCCGCCCTTGGGTCTCTACTACTATTCCATCCTTACTTCCAGGCACCCGTCTATACCATATCCTTGGCTTACCCATATGCATGCTGGATCTACCTTGGACACTACCGGAAAACCCGCGAGCATACGTGACGTTGCAGAAACATGTCTTGCTACAAGAAAGAATACATAATCAAGAGACATATCAAATCATTAGTACATATGGACGCAAGAAAGATTCCTAGAAAGATGCCCGGGCACCACCATACTCCACTTTCAAGCTACGTTGGAAACTTCCTGTCTAGGAACCTCCTGCTGCTGCCTTTCCACTCTATCCGCTTCCTCCAAGGGGTAAGGAGCTGAACCCGCCTTGTCATACTGCACGCCTATGGGACTCTCGCTTCGTACCGTACTCTCGTACGTAGTAGATTCTGGAACAGGGGCTCCACTTGTTTCTCCCGCTCCGACTCCTGGCACGGGGGCTCCCGGCATTGCACCCACTCCGAGGTTGCCTGCATTCGAATGGATGGGCTCAACATCCAACTGGTAATGGCGAAGATCGTCTTCCGCGTCGGTGAGTACCTGGCGTGCTGCTTCTACCTCTGCGAACGGAGGGTGTACATCGCCGGGGACGATGGGGGTGTCGTCGACAAGGTTCAAGAGACGACGAGCGTGCTTGGCTAGGATGATTTGCTTCTCAGCACGTTCGATAGTGGCTGCGAAGTGGTGGTCGTATGCCTCCTTGAACTTCTGACGAGTCTGAAATGGTCAGCGGGTGATAACAGTCTTCGTGGAGCTGCTGTACAATGTTGCTGAGTTGCGCTTCGGCAACCAGGCTCTGTGCCTCCGCGCGTACGAGCTCCTGTTCGAGCTGGACAATCTTAGTACTCTGAGGTTCTTTGTATTTCAACTTGGCGATCTCATCCGACACCTGTTGTCTGGTTAGTATGAAGTCGCTGGCTAGAGCGAGAAGCCATACCTTGGTTTTGTGGTCTCGGCTCGGCTGCACTGAGCTTTCTGTGTTGCGAATCTGCTTCAAGACACCTCGGTATTCCTCCAAGGCTTGTGCATAGATATCCTCTTGCTCGGCAATCTCTGCGAGCAGCACTCCGAGCTTATCTGAAATCTCCGAGATCGTCTCGTCCTCTGTGGCCTCACCCCATTCCGAGAGCTGCTGAGCAATGCCAGCCCGTTCACGTGCCGCAGCCTCGTAGGCGCCAATCGCATGGTTTTCAGATTTGATGATCTTGAACAGTTTCTTCGAAAGCTCCGGCTGCTGCGTACCTCTTAGGGAAGCCATCGTGAAACGGTGCTTGGGCGCGGACTTTTCCCCACTGCCGCTACCGCTGCCCTTCTTCGAGCGGACCGAGAGTGACCGATTCCTGGATTTTCAAGAAGTGATTAGCGAATATTTGGGGTCATGCGCGCGGATTCCTTGCATAGCAAGAGAATGTGCAAGACACTACAACACCATCGTTCGACTGCTGAAGTGGAAGACAATAAGAGTGAGACAAGCGTGATGCGCATTGTTATACTGAAGGTAAACGACTCGAGGACTGACTTACATCGTGTGGGTAACTGTTGCTTTGGTGTTTGCGTAGGTCTATACTCGTAAGTTGTTAGCACTACTAGGTTATGCGCTGGAAGAGCAGGCGTGTCGCGACGCGATCTGTGTGTTGACATAGAGCCATGTGGAAATATACCTTTCCGTGGGTATAGCAAGACCGATTGCGAAGTTTCCAGTATTTACGTATCGGGCGGTAAACAGCTGTTGCTTGAGTTTTGGGAAGCGGGGGTCAGCCTGGGGAAGTCGTGCAAGACCCGGTGATGTCATAAGGGTGGCCCGGAAGCTGCGCATCGCGAACATGGCATCTACAGCTAGTCACATAGCCACCACTGCCGAGGCATCCGTCTTCTATTGTCAAACTATAACCACTAATGTCAAAGTTCCATGTGATGAAGACTCGAACTCTCCTTCGTCTCTGTTATCCTATGCGCCTTCCATCTCTATCGTACTCATTCGACCGGACGGCATATCCGCAAGCTAGTGTACGAGCCTAGGCCATGTAGCACCTTCACCTCCGCGACTGTCAAAGCAGTTGTAACAAGAGAAAGCTTCTGAGATGCTGTTGTCTGTGATACAGCCCCTAATCCTGAGTATTCTAGCTCCAACAAGATCATCGCGACACAGCCTAGTAGTCCCTCTGCCTCGTTAACAACATCCAATGTGCTGCCACGCCTCGAAACCACAAAGCCTATGTTTGACGAGCTTCGCTGCACAAGGCCTATGGATCTTGCGATATTGTCAACACTACTAGTCAGTAGCGTTCGAGCATGTATCGTTTCTAGGTAACCGCAGAGGATACTCACTGGTAAGCCACTTTCTTATGCAGTATACATGGACGCTTGAAGTGTAGCAGTCAGTCAAGGGTTCTGTAAGGTGCTTCTGGCTTTATGTTCGCGCTCGTCATTGCGAACAAACCTCGTACTGAATACCTCCAGGCTCACCCACGGGCGTATTTGTTGGCTTGTTGCAATACCATATAAGTACGCGATTCAAGAAAGCGCAGCCATTTGACAAATCTCAGAAAAATATATTATACTCGATTTCTCTAGCTGCGATACAAAAGGCTGCATGGATCCACAGTACCGGAACGCGCACTTATATCACTCTGTGTCAGCCACATCTGAACAAGTAGCACATATGCGCGCTTGTGTCCAAAGGGCAGGACCTTGTTGTGGGCAACTCGCCTTAACACACGTGGAGGTGGCCAAGTGTGATATGTCTAAAGAAAAACACTTGGCTTTCCAAGGGCGCTTCGCATCTTATCTTGTCGGTACAACCTTCCCGCTGCGTCAGGGGTGATCCTTAAGGAACGATCCAGACTGCAACGAGGATGTCCGGTGTCACCTTAGATGACCATCCTTTTGTTCCTTTATGCACTTATGAGTGCCTTTATCAACCTTCCTCCGCGGACCCAATCTGTTTTACCTATAGCTATCATCTCACTCCCAATCAGCTGGTTAGATGCTCACCGCTAAAGCGAATACATGGGTATGATCAGCGTCTGTTGTGCCCTCACGCATTCTTGATCCATCACAGCCTAACAGCTATTGTAGTTTTGTGGCCTCACGAAACGAAACAGCATGGTCCATGTAACCACATAGGTCCTTAGGATCAGGCTGGAATACTACAACATTCGGGCGCGACAAGCTCCTTTCGAGCTATGCGCTGACTGCCGGTACCCAGCCCCGAACTTAGCCATGCAATGTGCAGCCAACGAACGCTTTGCATATACCAGGCTACTATTCTTTGCGCTATTCAGGCTTACCTGGTAGCGTTGTTAACAGTCGAAGACTTGGCGAAATGGCCGGTTTCGACTTACCAATCACGCCAATCCGGGGGCGGCTGGACCATGAGCATTCCATAAGCACCGAGAAAAGATCAACTTCGGGAGCGGGACCCTGGAGAAGTGAACAGTGCCAAGCCGGCTGCCGCGTCATTATCGGATGTTTCTGTGTCCAACGGCGCATTTTGGCCTGTCCGTGGATCAGAACGCAACGATCTCAGCACAGCACAGTGCAGGAATGCATTTGGCAACAAGCTGTTGAAGATGCCGAGAAATTACTGCTCAACTCGACAATCTCACCCGGATTCCAAGGATTAGCTCCGCTTTTTTTCTTGGCTAAGTGGCACGGTGACCTGACGTGACTATCATCATCAACGAAGAGATCGCAACTGCTATTCTATTAGCGAGTTAATCCAACCTAAAAAGCTGGCAGTTTAGTCTCGCGGCTTGAGTCTTCGGCTGTTGAACCACCAGGATCACAAACACGCTGATCAATCTGAGGAAAACTCGGCGTGATACCGGCGTAACGATGTACGGCAGTCGACGAGATCGAGAAATCACGCCCATCTTCATCACATCCTGCCTGCAAGGCGGCGTTCTGCCCAGTTGTGGAATTACGCGTGCATCATGTATATGCAGGTCAACGTCCCAGCCTCTAAACCCTTGGCATCCATACAAGTGCCTCGAATAGACTCGCCGTAAGTGGGTACCGTTAATCCGGGAATTTCCCAAACGCGCGATGATCGTTCGGTTTGTCCAATACAAGTCGTGCTATTCGATAATTCAGGACTGTGGAGCGATGATGTCTAAACTAGCATCCATGTCGAGATGTGCACGCTACAAGGTCGTACCGCTCTGTTGCCGTTGCTGCTGACGTTGTGAGGTGGTATAAATCCACAGCTGTCCGCTCTCTTCTGTAGCTCACGTCTTCCAGAATCTCTGTCTAGTTCAAGATGGTGCGAGTTCAGATCCTGACGGCTGCTACTGCCTTGCTGCATATTGCTCAGGCAGGATGCCCTTACATGGATGGTGACGCTGTCGTTCGCCGAGATGACAATGCTGCGTCGACTGACGATTTCATGGGCCGCTACGAGGTTGACGACAGCGATGTGTACATGACAAACCCGGTCGGTGGTCCAATCGAGGAGCAAGAGAGTCTCTCAGCTGGCGAGCGTGGTCCAACACTTCTGGAGGACCAAGCATTCCGAAGAAAGGTGAGTTCTTGGAAGACACAATACTGATGAGATTTCAACTAACTTCATATCTTTACAGATCATGCATTTCGACCACGAGCGCGTCCCGGAGCGTGCTGTCCACGCAAGAGGAGCCGGAGCCCACGGCACCTTTGTTTCTTATGGCGATTACTCAAACATCACTGGCGCATCTTTCTTGGGCTCGTCAGGAAAGGAGACACCGATCTTCATGCGATTCTCCACTGTTGCCGGATCAAGAGGCAGTGCCGACACAGTGCGAGATGTGCACGGATTCGCTGTTAGGTGGTACACTGACGAGGGAAACTTCGGTACGTTACGAGTTCTTATCGTTAGAGTTCTTCTTGGCTGTGTTCTCCTTCTAACCATACCTGTTGATAGATATTGTTGGAAACAATATTCCGGTCTTCTTCATCCAAGATGCAATCAAATTTCCCGATCTGATCCATGCCGTCAAGCCAAAACCAGACTCTGAGATCCCACAAGGTATGTTGCGAATGCACGAAATGCATGTGGAACGTAAACTAATATGTTGGCTTCTTCTTTACAGCGGCCACTGCGCACGACTCCGCTTGGGACTTCTTTTCCCAACAGCCCAGTTCCATGCACACACTTCTGTGGGCAATGTCAGGACACGGTACCATCAGGTCTTACAGGCATACCGATGGGTGGGGAGTTCACACCTTCCGCTTCGTGACCGACCAAGGCAAATCCAAGCTCGTAAAGTTTCGCTTCAGGTCGCTACAAGGCAAAGCTTCTTTGCTGTGGGAAGAAGCGCAATTGACCGCAGGCATGAACGCCGACTTCCACCGCCAAGATCTGTTCGACAGTATCCAGCAAGGATTTTTCCCAGAATGGGTGTTCGAGGCTCAAATTATGGAAGAAGAGGATCAGCTTCGATTTGGCTTCGATCTTCTAGATCCTACCAAGATTGTACCTGAGGATATCGTGCCCTTCACTCCGCTCGGAAAGTTGACCTTGAACCGGAACCCACGCAACTACTTTGCTGAGACAGAGCAAATCATGTTCCAGCCTGGACACTTAGGTATTGTGACTGTACAACATGCAGAGTAGGCATATGCTAACCCTGATAGTTCGCGGAATTGATCTGACGGAAGACCCTCTGCTTCAAGGAAGAATGTTCTCTTACCTTGATACGCAGCTGAACCGCAATATGGGTGGCCCTAACTTCGAGGTTCGTTTTGATTCTACGAGATGAACGTGAGACAAAGACTGACTTCGATCCTCACATTAGCAAATTCCTATCAACCAGCCTCGCGTACCTGTGCACAACAACGAAAGGGATGGCGCCGGCCAGATGTACATACCTCTCAACACGGCAGCCTACTCTCCAAACACGTTGAACAAAGGATCTCCGCGACAGGCAAACCAAACTAGCGGACGTGGCTTCTTCACAGCCCCCAGCCGCTCCACAAGTGGAAAGATTGTCCGATCCGTGTCCAGCACATTCGCGGATGTCTGGAGCCAGCCTCGCCTGTTCTTCAACTCGCTTCTGCCTGTCGAGCAACAATTCGTGGTCAACGCCATGAGATTCGAGACCTCGCAGCTGAAGAGCGATGTTGTCAAGAACAACGTGCTTATCCAGCTCAACCGCATCTCTCACGACATTGCAGTAAGGGTGGCAGAAGCGCTGGGTATGACCGCGCCGGAAGCAGATGACACTTACTACCATGACAACAAGACGATTGGAGTTAGCGCTTCTGGTGAGCCATTGCTCAAACTGGATGGCCTGAAGGTCGGCTACCTTACTACTGCATCCTCCTCTGGCGAAAACGCACAGGCCATGAAGTCAGCTCTTGCTGACCTCAAGGTTGGAATGACTGTTGTAGCCGAGCATCTTGGCAGCGATATCGATCAAACCTACTCGGCTACATCCGCCATCCAGTTTGATGCTATCATCGTCGATGGTAGCGCAGAGAGCCTCTTCGCACCCGCCGCCAGCCTGGCCAACTCCAACTCAACTGCTTCGCCCCGCAACGCGACCAGCAACGCCCGTTCGACTCTCTACCCTGCCGGTCGCCCACTCCAGATTCTACAAGATGGATACCGCTTCGGTAAGCCCATCGCTATGCTCGGTTCCAGCAACAACACTGCTTTCAGCGCGGCCGCTATCGAAGCATCTACTCCCGGCGTCTACAGTTCCAGCGACATGTCCACCGTCGTAGATCAGCTATCTGAGGGTCTTCGCACATTCAAGTTCTTGGACAGATACCCTCTCGATAACTAGAGGAAGTGTATAGTTTACCAAGGCGTGTTTTTAACGTAACATTTCGGTTTGTTCGTGTATCAGGCACTCAAAGGGAGCGCATATTTAGTGTATATACCAGTAGCTTACGCAATGACATGCTTTGAACACACTATTGTTGAGCGAACCAGTCTTGCCTGGTAGCAAAGAACGTAAGAAATGTAGCCAAGCCGTGTAGAGTCATCACTTCTGTGCATTGCGTATATCTATTGTAGTTTCAGATCCTCCTCACTCAGCACGCCGTATAGCTTTTCGATCTCTTGCCCAATTATATTGAGATCATGCGCGAGCTGCCCAGTCACCAACGCATACGCATACAACAACTCGTAGTCTTCATCGTTGGCGATGACCTTGCCCAGTCCGCTCTGTCGGAACTCAAAGACTTTTGCTAACAATCGATCGCGCGTGTGTTCGACATTGGGCAGTACATCGTTGAGTGGATAAGCTAGCTTCATCGAAGAAGCCATGACTATTGCGTGTTAGTAGGTGCGCTTTGCACAGCTTGATGGATGTTGCTTACCTGAAAACAAATGACTGATGCGCCAACTCAGATCCATCCATTCTTTCTTGGTATACCTCAAAGCCTCTTTCTCGCCTTCAGATGCCTTCAAGTCTTTCAGAATCACGACGTTCATAGCATGGAAACTATCCAATATACGGCTAGTCGCGCCTAGAATGATCTTGAAGCTTTTGTCCGGGAAAGGGCCCCTGAGCTCAAATTCGGCAGCAGCTGATACACGCAGTGTATCCAGATGAGATAGATATCGACGAAGCTCGAGTTCTTCGCGTTCGGACATGTACGAGTACGTCCGACTCGAGTTCTCGTTGGACTCAAGTAAGGTCTTCAGAGGGCCACGCTTCCAAATCAACCCCATCTTGAGCCATAGCAAAGATGTGCCCTTCTTGACTTTGCGACGTGCTGAGATGGGCCAGATGACCCTCGTCACGATGATGCCCCATAGACAACCAGCCATCACAGCGACCACACGATGAAGCACAATCTCCCATATCTCAGGCGAGATACCGCCCTCGTCGTCGTCGTCTTCCTCGTCTTTGACAGACAGAGAGTATGCGTAGAGTGCAGAAAGGTTGTAAGTCAACAGGATGAAGCGACCCATAGGCCCTTTGCCCTTGCCCACAATGATGTAAAAGCAGAACAGAGAGATGAGCCAACCGAAGAACCCCAAAATGAAAGCATGGTCATCAGCTGCAATCCATGCGGCGATGGCAAGTACAGCCCCAAGACATGTACCAGCAAAACGTTGGAAACCAGTGGTGTTGGAGGCACCGATAGTCATCGAACAAACCAACATGTACGACAACAGGCCCCACTCTCCACGCCAATGACCGTAGAATCCCCGGGTCGATTGGATGAATGACCACATGGCGTAGAGGACTGCGCCTATACCAACCTTGACAGCGAATTTTAGGTCGTCTCTCCTAAAGACGGCCAATGAAGTCCATATGCGGTATGACAGCGGCTGCTCATTCTCTGACTTGTATGGATCGCCCCGCGTCGACTTCCGGTAGATGGGATTATGAATCTCGTGCGAGCCTCCAGGTGTCTGGGCTTCTGTTTCATCAACAAGACTGGACTCTTCCGAGCCATCTCCGGATGTAGTCTTGTTGCGCCCACGTTGCCAGAATTTTAGCCAATTGTAGGTTCTTTGTCGAGGATAGCGATTGACGTTTCCTTTCAACTCTTCAAGAATATCAAGAAACGTGACCATATCTTCGGCGAAATCCAACAACGACGAACTGAAGTACCCACAACTTGCGGCAACCTCTTCAAAGTCGGCTGCGATCTCTGCGGAGCTGGCCCGGATTGGTATCTTGTTCTTGTAGACAGCCGAAAGAGCTTCTCGTCGTGCGTTTGAAAACAGTGCTTTCGCGTCGACCAGACTGTGACGAAAGTGTTCGTTGATAGCCATGTTGTACTCGGGCCCAGGTCCGAAAGGTAGTTCAGAGAGGACCTCGCGTAACGTGTATGCTAAAGATTTCTATTGAGGTTAGTACAGGTAGCAGACTGGACTTTCTGAACATACCATTGGTGGCCCCAATTGAGCAATAAACACAGAGAACATGTCAGCAGGCGTCAGGTTCGACTGCAAAAGATTCGTGACTTGGCCAGACTTCTTCTTGGTCGGAGTAGACTCGTCGTCGGATCCAGCTGCTGAGGGGTATGCGGATGCTTCAGCAGAACTCTCGGGCAGCTCATCGATGGAGGCGAGGATGCTAGTGCGCCTCTCGGTATGGCTGAGACTGGGAGATAGTTGCGGCGGGCTTAGTGACATGGTATGCTCGGAGAATATTGACGAGGTAACGGTTCCGTTGGCAGGTATAGGCTGATGCGACGCCCCATTTGGTTCCGACTCTGACTGCGCCAATAATGTAAACTGAGTCTCAGCAGCACTCCGCAGTCCTCCACAGCTCTGCATTAGCTTTTCCAAACATTTAACAAGCTTGGCGTTGATCTTGTACTCCTCCTCAGTACCTAGAGCGTAATGTTCAAACTTGGCTTCTCCCAAGTTCTTTACAAGAGTCTTGAATGTGGCCTGGCTCTTCTTGGAGGCCTCGACATAAGAATCGCTTTTGAGGTCTGATTCAGCACCGGAAAGGAAGCTGAGGGTAATGCCGTTGAGCATCTCGGCCATAGCATCGGTCGACTTGATGAAAGTGTCGCGAAATTCGTTGCGCGCCGACTTTGGCTGCACGAGGAGCGACACTAGGGTTGAGGCGGAACAGCCCAGAATTATCATCTTCGAGACTTGCCAAACCTTGACGTAGGAGAACTTGGCTGCCTGAACAGCGCCCTCCTTGGTCAGGATGGTGATGAGGGCGAGTGAAGTCAGGGAGCAAGCCACGTTGACGAGAGGATTGCCCAGCTTTTGTTTTGTCCATCCAACAAGTCCCAGGCCTCCTCCACAGAAGACAACGAGCACTATGACATGGCCTAGCACTAACAAGTCATGGTTTCCAAAGTATGCAGACACGGCCATGCTTGAGAAGGAAACGAAGGCGGCATACATGAAAGCGGCAAAGGCCAAGATGACTGCCTCGATCATGCTACCAGCTGAGCGGGCTGGATGGAAATAGACAGTAATGGTGGCGACTATGTGCTTTCCATCGTTCTTGCCCAGCAGTCCTGCAATGGCTGGAACGAAGGTGGCCAAGGACCCGAGAACATAAGCCAGCGAGCATTTGAATATGCCGATTCCAGTATCACTTGTCGCATACGCGTAGGCTTGTCGACATTTGTTTCGGACTTTGACTCTGGCCAGTTCGACTCTTCCCATGTCCCGGTGCCGCTGTTCATCGTATTGGCCCGGCGCAAGCAGAAACTCGGAGGATTCGGAGGGTCGGTGTTGGGATCGCCGCAGAGTAAAGGCTTTCTTGACGCGTTCGCCCGTCTTGGGTTGGACCATGGTCGCGCTGCGTAGCTGTATATCATGGTGAGCTCATTGCCTGCATTACTGCCCGGAGACGCGACTTACACTGGGCCGCAGGAAGCGGCGCTCAGCCGGGGTTTGTGGGGGCGTTTCGTTGGCCATGGTGCACGTGGTAGCCCGTGGATTCCGATCAGGAACTAGGACATGGCGATACAAGACTTTGAGCGTTGCGCTGCGGAGGCGCGCCTTGCATTGTTGGACGTGAACCCTGCAGATGCCCAGATGCAATGGCACATGCGCTAACCGCCACAGCCACTCGCATGCCACATGGCTTCGGTGCTTACATACTGTACTACCCGCGTGTCCGGAGCATCATGACCATGGCGTTCGTGCTTGCCATCATCACTTCCGCAGTGTCATAGGAGTGTGACGGAGAACGCGCATCGCGAGGGTTGGGGTTGGGTTGCAGTTGCCGAGGTGAAGACTAGCGGCTTCTTCATACGAATTGGTCATCACGAGCGGTACCATGGACCTCGACATCGCTTCTTAAGTGTCTCCTATTCAAGACGACTAGCATATCCATGACCCCATCTACCATTCATTCAAATCCCACAAATCCCACATTCCAAGAACCCTATGTTTGAAGCCTTCTCTGTCTATACCGTCTGCGCCAGCCGTCGAACCATGAAGCCGTCGAGAAACGCCAGACTGGCATCAAGACTTGGATCCAGTAACGACTTTCCAGCTGTCATAGGCATCCGTTCAGGCGCGGGCTGAGATAGATAGGCTTTCGATCTCGTACGATGCGCTGCGCGGAACAACTGCACTTTGCATCAATATTGTCCGAGTTCAAGTTTCGACGTGAAATACTTACTCTCAGCCGTCTCAAAATCTCCTCAAAACTCCGCACTATTTCCACCATATTCTTGTCGTGCATATCTGCCTGGCCGAGTAATCGACGAAATGAGTGTTTTCGGAAAGCATAGCATACTTCTCTCTGCCTCTTTGGCAAGTTCCTTTCCATGTCTCTTGGCGCAAGATATTGTTCAATTCCCAAAAACGCATCTAGCGCCTGGAACATCAGTACCTGGTTACCGCTAAGCCCATCGAATGTCTCCCACTTGTTTGTTTCCTTGTTGTAATGGCCAATGCCCCACGCCTGGAAGCCCTGCACCTTTGATAGCCAGACAGAATGTGCAATCATCTTATCATGCAGATTGTCCATGTAGATGCCGAGTACAAGTCACATCTGCGATGCAATATTTGCAACATGGATGGCGCAAGCTGCGTTGTCACCACGTGCGAAGGTGATGATCGATTGTGCCATGTCGTAGTAGACGGGCACGCCGAAGACTTCGAGGTCGTAGAAGATGCGGAAGAAATTCTCTTCGCTAGATGTCACGTGCAGCTCCATTCCCGTGTTGATTCTGTATATGTAGGTGCCTCTGCAATCGAAATTGAGCAAAACGTTGCTTGCTAGACGGTTCAGTCAGCTTCGCTGTAGCGAAGAACTTATAGCAACTAGGCAACGTATTATTGTTCCCTGCGTCAGACGCACAGCCGAAGTGTCTCTGCATTACGATCCAAGGTTCAACCAATTCGATAGGTAAGTCAATTTCTCTCTCCCGTTGCGCGACTTTGAGGATGGGTATGGTGGCCCATCTATACGCATGTCGGCTGACGGCAACACAGCAGTAAAAGGCATTGTACGTCTCGCGGGTAAAGTGAATCCAACATCCCGTATCAGTTGCTTGGAAAAGCCAACAGCTCCGTTAGCAATTTAGCCATCTGTATAATCATTGCTACTCTCCTTACCTTTGCAACTTCGACGAGATCAACGCGATCATGGAGTAAATCGCGATATCGCTGTCGGAAATTCTCTATACCTAATATATTGACTTCGTCATCTAGAGAAGGGGTCGCTTGGGGAAGGAGAGGTGCGAGTTCCAGATATATCTCTTTGTACGGCTGTAGAGGCGTAGACCAGGTCGTATGTGCGTGATTGGTGTTCGGTGGCCAAGAATCTGCCCCGTCTTTCTGAATCATATCACTTAATAGCTCTGCTATCTCGTGGTGTTCCGTCAATGCTATGATGTTTTGGACCGTGCTTTCTTTCTTGTCGTTTGGACTGGATTGATATAACGGTCCAACCACGGCTCCATAGTCGATGCGTCTCAACCATGCCGTAGCTAGAGTGTGAAGACTGCCGACCCTGTAGAGACTGGATGGGCGGCACCAAGCCAAGGGATTTGGTGCGCGACTCAAGAATGACAATTGGAAGAGTATAACTGCAGTGAACAGAGCACTGCTTAGGACAAATGTGAGGAGCTCCATCCTGTGGTGTTGATCTTGGGTATTTGGAAGAAATTGGATGATAAAGTGTTAGGTATGGATGATCCGATGGGGCTGGTCGTAGTTGTAGATAAGAGATCTGTGCAGAAGGAAGCCCCTTTATAGGGACGCGGCATCCTCAAGAGTTGCGAGCGCAGTAGCAAGCCCGTAATAATGAATGTCTCACCCTGGATGTCTTCGCCGAAATCATTAGGATGCTCTAGGCGCCAACGACACCTCCAACGCTTGGTCGCTTACAATTCAATCTAGCTTAGCCCTTGAATATTCTGGCAACTGTTACTTCCTGTGGTTCTAACAGCCCCTTGCTATCGATACTGCGTCTGTCCGCAACCCTTGATACTTTACACTTACAGTCACGTAGCAGTTCTCTCCTAGAAGGAGTAGACCCCTTGCGCTTCAAGCGTTCACAAGTACGTTCCATGTGGCAATGGTAAGCGTTCATAACAACCAAGGAACAGCTGATGCGAAGTAGGGTTCTTTCCGTAAAGCCGCTTATGCCAGGTGTAGCTGCCAAAACACCGAGCAAGTAGACTAGTCAGATCTGCCTAGTAGGTAATGTGGTCGTATTCAATGAATAAATATTTGAAATCAGTCCACTGCAGCCAGAGATAGGTCTTAGTGGTTGAGATTCAGATTGTCGCCCTCGTGAAGGTGGAAGGTGTTCACCGGTGCTTGGAGTTCGTAACACCATACAAAATGACCAGATATGTCGGTACACCACGAAATTCAGATCGCAAATAATCAGCTGATTCTGGTGTTACGGGAGGCTCGCTCCGCGATAGGCGGGAGTCAAGCTTTCTGACGCCATCTGACGGATATCAGATACCACCATGCCCAGGGATGCGCCACTTTGTGTATCGTGTTCTCGAAAATGGATAGAAGGTGTTCGGAAGCTTGAAGCTAAATGAAAGTCGCCGATTTACTATGGTGTGTCGAGATGGCGTGGTAGTATTAGGAATGTGAATGTATTGGATCTGCTAAGAGGGGTATCGGACACCGAGCTGCTTACAGGTTACCTTCCTGTCTCTTCAATCGCTCGAACAACTGTACAAAGGCAGCCGGATCCTGTGCTCCACCGACTTCATACATGCCGTTTATGGTAAAATTGGGAACGCCAGTGATCTGCTGTCGACGCGCCTGCTGCACTTCCTTATCAACCTCAGGGCCTCCCTTGCCTGCCTCCAACCAATCCTTGATCTCTTTCTCCTCCAGCCCAGCTTTGACACCTGCCTCGGTTAGGATCTCTTGGGTAGTAATATCCTTCTCATTCTCGAAGTATGCAGCGAAGAGCTCCTCAATCACTCGGGTCTGCATTTGCGGGCCCTTGGTTTTTCCAAGTTGTATAAGCCGGTGCGAATCGCGTGTGTTTCCAGTCTTGCCGCCGTATTTGAAGTTGATTCCCTCCTCTTTGCCAATCTGTGAGAGGCGCTCTTGCATCATTGCTGTGCGCTCTTTGCCAAATTTCGACTCGTACAGTTGTTGCTTGTCGGCGCTCTTTGGCGCATCGGGGTTCAAGTAAAAAGGGAACCAGTTGGTATCGAAAGTGTCTGTGGAATCAGGGTGCTTCTCCTTGTAGGCCGCGATACCCTTTTCCAAGCGCTTCTTGCCTACATAGCACCATGCTATAAATTGGTTAGTGCCGAATACCCATTTACTGGATGCTTTTTCATGAGGACTTACGGCACACCGTGTCGCTTACAATGTCGACCTTGAAGTTGGTCATTTTGCGTAGACTTGCTCTGAACGCCACGATGTAGGTGTGCGAGATTGATTCCGCTGATGAAGTGATGTCATAGTCGCCAGGTTACATGCTCTTTATACCGAAGCTGATGGCGAGTATTGCTGACAAATTAGGCGGAAGAGGTTGGAGTCGCGGCGACCGGCCAAACTCGCCCTTGTAGTAAATTCCGCAGCTGTTCCAGAAAGATGTCTCCATTTCTTCCATCGCGTACCCGCTCAATTATCAATTCGCCTTGCAGGCACATGCGACCCCAGTATGCTGACCCGCTACAAGGTGCCGAGGTCGTCGTTAGGAGGACGTGGGGTAGCTTTGGTGATGCTCACCCTCGCCCCCGAAGCTTCCGCGCTCACAAACCAGCTGTTTCGTGCTTACAATAGCATCAAAAAAACAACAACACCTGCAGAACAGTTTATATGATATGTCTCGATGTTGAGTTGAATTATGCGTTGTTCCATAAGTGTCATGCTAATATAAAAAGCCAAATGTCTACCAACGCCGCGCTATGCCAAAAGACAAGTTGTCGCTCGTAGTCGTCAGACACGTGCGAGGAGTTTAATCCAAACCGAAAGCACATTGTCAGGCAGCTACTCACTTATTCAGCTGCTGCTCTCTTTTCAATGCCTCGCGGAACTTTGCGCCACGGACCAGGATTAGAAGAACTCCTGGTATGCAGAGGAGGTCCAGAATTCCTAAGCCGGTGAACGCCCATCCCCAGCCCATTCCGTCCAGGATGCTACCCATGATCGCCGCGCAGATCGCTGCAGCGACATTGCGAAGAAATCCTCCTAATGCCACTAGACTGGCAGTCTGAGCAGGATCACACTCAGTCTGGAATGAAGTGCTAGTGACGAAGACGACGGAAACACCAACTGCTGCGAGAGCTGAACTGAACAGACCAGCTGCTGGGTGCACGTGATTATGTGCGAACCAACCGAACATGATTTTTCCAGCCGCTGCGATAAGAAATCCGGGTATCTGGATGGCGATTCTCCGCTCAGGTGCAACCTTGCCATCAGAACTGTTCGCGATGGCCTTCTTGCGCATATAGTCAGAGAGTCGACCTACGAGGATCGAAGCAATGAACATCGCAATACCAGGACAAAGGAAGCCATACCCAACCTTGGCAGTTGTCCAGTTGTACCCTTCCTGCCAAATGGTGGGGAAGGATATGTACATGCCATATAGACCGGCAAACTGGAAGGCACCATTGAAAGAGACAATCAAGTGAGGAGGATACTTGAGAAGGTGCATAAATTTTCGAAACGATGGTCGGGGAGCTTTCGGAACTTTCATGTCAGTACACGGTTTTGTCCGGAACTTTGGTATCGAAAACCAAGGCTGGTGCGCAAGGGCTGTGCCGTTACCCACCAGTGACCGCAAGGTTTCTGGCATGCAGAATACGATGGCAAGGTATACTGGAAGACTGGCGAGCGAGAGGAAGCCAAAGACCCATCGCCATCTGGTCTCGGTTGCGAACTGACCGCCTATAAGTGGACCAAGGATGGGGCCAAGTTGAGGTCCCATGAGAAACCATGCTAAGGCGGATGCACGTCTGGCGGGCTCTGTGATATCGGCTACTGTACCGGCTCCGACCGAGAAGACGATACATGATCCGAATGCCTGGAAGATACGGAGAAAGTATAGGAGAGCGATGTGTGCTGGCAGCAAAGCCAGTAATGTGTTGGCAATGAGAAAACTGCCGAGTCCGACCATGTACACCGTTTTCCTTCCGCCAACGTCAGAGGCTGCCGCACCGAAGAGAGGCTGTGGATTGTTAGTTTTGCGCTCTAGTATACCGGGAGGAATGACTTGCAGCAACAGCGAACACCACCATGTACATTGAAACTGTACCATTGACAGCGGTTTCTGATGTTTCGAAGATCTTTTGAAACAGCTTCAGAGATGGGAGGTAGACCGCTCCGCACAGCGGTCCAAAGAAGCCTGCCGCTGTAACTACACCCAGGATAAACCTTCTGCGATTGACTGAGAAGGCCGAATATGGTGGAGGAGGTGGGGGAGGAGCAGAATCGTTCGTTAATGACTGCTCAGATTCATCGATGGCGTGTGGTGAAGGGTAGTCATCGCTGTCGAAGCTTTCACGACATCGATCGTAATGATGGGCCTTCTCGAAGTCGATTGGAGAACGCATGGCAGAAAGCAGTATCGATGTGATGCGACAGATGATACGCAGTGAGCCTTTCTGAGATCAAAGGACATGATAAGACTGATATGTATGAAAGAGACACTAGCATCGCCGTGTGTTCGGAGCGTCCTACGTGCCGACTATGCGCTGCGTAAGACTGCACAACTCAAGACCTTGTTCTGGGCACGGTTGTGTTCTGCTTTACAGGCTGTAGCACAGCCCTATCCTCCCTCGCAACCAATGGGAGGACATCCTGGTACAAAGGCGTATTTTCGTCTCGGCTGCGGTCAGCTCCTGCGAGAGGAACGCTTTGGCGCATCCCGCGCCACTTTGTGTATCGCCAAGCGACCCGCTATTCTAATCACAGGGATTACCAGCCGCAGAATTGGCTGGGAAAAGCATTGCTGGTGTTGGATATGCGGGACGGATGGACGAATACATCGGCCAGCTCTCGTCCAAAAACTACGTCTTGCTTGAAACTCAACACCTCTTACTGCATTACGTGGTTTGTACAGATGTGGCAGCCCGTTACAACTGGCTCCGTGGACAAACATTCAACACCTAGATATGCAGCCGTCTGTGCATAGCAATCCGGAGCAGCATACTAGCATTACCCATGGACCGTGCACTGTCTGGGTATGGTGTTTGATACAACACCATCAGCAAAATAGGTCTATTTCACTAGCGCCTGTCGTCTAGCACTGCGAATCCGAAGAGCTGGGGGACGCGTGAGGCTGAATTGCTTAGCGCCACACTAAGCTGGATAAGTTTGTCCTGAATACTCCGCCTTGTCGACGATTCGCTGAGGGTTGACTACAATCTTCCCCGCATCATCGCGCCTTGGAAGTGTTGCAAGGCGTTGCTGAGATGGATGCAGCTACCAGAGAGGTTATCATGAGTCACCCAAAGCTGGACGGAAGAGCACAACATGATTGCATCTTTTTTTTATGAAGCTGTGACAAATGCATATGCATCAAATACTGTCTATCTAGGATTTGAAGTACTGCGGCATTAGATCGAAGATTTATACAACCAATTTGAAACAGATCTCAGTCCTGATAGGCGTTGAGTCAGTAGTAGACATGCCACCCCTCACCAACACCTAGGGCCATTTGAGGAGAATTTGACGCTCCATCTCTACCAATCACGATTCGTTCAGCTCTGCTTTGGGCACTCAACTACTGAGTTTCCTTTTGTGCTACATCTGTTTTCGATTTTGCGGTTGAAAATCTGCAGCTAACGGCATCGCCGAAGCCTGTTTCACGGGGTGCACTTGACAGACTCAGCAACTGACCGACTCGAGTGCTGTAGTCGTTCGCTATCGCAGTGAGAAGGTATATCGTGCTCTTTCGCACATGTGATTACGAAGCACAAACTTCGCCAAGTGGGTAGAATCCTGGTTGCATATCCGTTTCTGCAAAAATCATAACCTCTCTCAACACGACAACGGAGGAATCCAACGTAAGCAAGTCACGTTTTCAGCACGCCTGATTACGGCATGGTAAGATCGCACCTGGCGTATCGTTGCGCCGAGATTGCACTTTCTTACTATCTGTCCCCACCCTTCCCGCTTGGGTATACTATGTTTATTGCAAATCTCCACATCACAATACGTCCAAGTGAAAAGTCAGTCGAAGGATTTATGACACGTTGGATCTGATCCACTTTATAGCTTTGAGTAAGCCTTATCTTCTGTGGTATTTGCGGTAGTACTGGGATGTGCGGGACAATCGTAGCATGAGCTTTCGCCAGGCGTCCCATAGCCGCCTGGTGCATCCCCTGCTCTTTGCTACCCGCCACAGGGTTGCAATCCTTCGCACAGTCACATCGTTTTGGACCCCACGTCAAACACGCTTTGTAAACGGTGATTTGCAGAGGGCATGGTCAATCCAATTGAGCAAGCATAACCTGTAAAGTCAGTATACAGTGCGGGCGCTCGAAATCCTCAAATTTTGAAGATGAAATGTACAGGTTGAGCATGTAAAGCACTTATCGATGCTGATGCACGACAATCAATTCAGACCCCATGGGCGGGTTTTCAATGTTTGAATAGTGGAATCAAATAGTTGGGACATTAAGAGCCAGAATCAATATACATTCCATCCAACACATGACACATATCCAGAAACTCCGATCGCTATGCGCACATATGCAAACCTATTGTACCCAATATTCTCACTTCTCTGACAACTTCTCAAACTTCAATTTCAAGCCTCGGGGATACAACGGCCCAGCAGGTGTCATCCTACCGTCCCAAGTCTCATCTACCCTCCATCTGCACCCCCTCACCAATTCTGCCAGAGTAATTCTTAGCTGCTGCATCGCAAACTTCTGCCCCAAACAGGCTCTTCTTCCACCATGGAAGCTGATGAAAGAGCCTTTGGAGTTGGCGCGACGGTATAGGTGGCTGATCTCCTCGTTCGTGGTACCCCAGCGCTGCGGCTTGAAGTCATCGGCATCATCGCCCCAGAACTCAGTATCGCGATTCGTAGAGTATGCGTTGTAACCCATGTAGACACCGGAGGGTACAGGTATCTTGTTGCCAAGTATGACAGGTGTTGTTGTACGGCGATTGATAAGCTGTGAGATCGGAGGAAACATGCGTAAAGATTCGTAGAGGACTGAGGTGAGAAGTGGCAGGTCGTGGAGATCGGTATAGGACGGCTCGTAGTCTACGTGTGCATCGGCAGGGTAGAGGGTTGAGATCTCTTTGCGAACCGCTTCTTGGACTGATGTATGCGTGCCAAGCAGGTACATAAGGGACATGAGCGCGAGCTGAGGGTTCTCATGGCCGGCTAAGAAGGTGCTGACGAGGTTGTCGTCGAGATCCTTATCGCCGAGTATACCTTCGCGATGCGAGCCAAGCAACCTACAAGCAACGTTCCTGTTGTCGTTCTCATTACAGACGTGTTGGGAATGTCCTTTGGATATGGCAGTGCGGAGAGTGCCGCGGAACTGCTTGCTGAGCACACGACCGAGCTTCCGAACTTCCAATGGTAAATAGTCGAGGAATGGAAAGTTCATGAAGATAGGCTGGAAGATGATCGGCTTGATCTTCATCTGAATCATATGTAGCGGTGCGTCCACATGCTGCAGCGTCTCAAAGCTTGAGCTATACAACACTTCTGAGAGATTGGCGAGCGCATATCGGTGAAGAAGTGAGTATATTGGGATGCCGTTGCCGCCAGCAGTCTTTGATTCGCCCAGAAACATGTTCCTGAGCACCCTGGAGTTCTTCCAGATTTGTTCCGAGTCCTGGTCAGCTTGCAGAGCGGGTTTGATGACTCGTTGGTAGAGTCTCCATTTCTCGCCATGGGCGCTGATGATGTTCTCGCCCGTGTACTCGGCGAGCACACTATGCGGAATCTTGACTTGATTTCCAGACTTGGCATAGATTTCCTCATGCTTGAACATCTCCGCAATGTACGCGGGTTTGGTTACTAGTATGTTCCTACAATTCGACATGCGAAGTCAGTGTGTGCCGCAAATGTGTTAGGTACATTGGCGAACTGACCATTGTCCACCAAAGAATAACTTGACCGCACCATATCTGGCCAGAGGTTCCTTGAGATATTGTCGGTATAGCTCAGCTTGGTCAACATCCTTGAAAAGCGGTAGAAGACCATAATAGAATGGTATGGTTGGTATGTTCTTGGGAAAATTACGAGGTGGTGTGAAAAGGTAGACAAAGAATGAGAACACACCGAAGACGATAGCGAAAGCGGCGATAAACACCAGCGAAAGAGACGAAACCATGATGCTCAGTTGCTACAAATCTGATAGTACTGACGACGACTGTTTAGCCAAAGCATATATGGAACTAGCCGCCATGCGAGAAGGATCTCAGCCCCAACCCGGTAAGTTGGGGGCGGTGTCTCTAAGCGAAAGCTGAAGCGAGATAGGCTGGCGCGCATACCCTGCACGCCAGCTCCATGCACCTACTTTTAGAAAATAAGGAGTTTTGGATGGTAACGTTCGGATCCTGTTGTAACACCTGGGTAGAAACAACCGTTCGTTGTGGGGCTGGCAGGGGCGGAGATCCTTCCACCCAGGTTATGCTGCCAAGCAGTGCATACGCCTGTCGTGGGGTCATGATAGCTCTGCCACGACCACCTGTCTGGACTTGTTGTTGCATGATGGCTCGCTGAATCCTGCCGTATGACGGACGTCTGTGCAAGATAACTCGCCGTCTACTCGCAGAGTTACTTCAGCTAGCCCCAGGCAGCTGCGGATGCCAAGTTCCCTAGTTATGCATCCCGGCTGGCAACAGCATGCCATTTGTCCCACTGCAACAGCAAAGCATCAAGCGGATCCACACTGCCGCCAGGCATGTTGAGCGCGACGGCCAGTTCAATGGGCTGACCCGATGCGTAGCGAGATTGAACGGTGCCGTAATTAGCGTACCAGTCGGTGTGCGGAGTGCACGAGTTGTGGCTTGTCGCTGATGCCATCCGCAGCTGGCTGGGGCGAGCGCGCTTTGACCGAGTGGAGCATCACCTTTGTGATGTTTGAGACATGTGTGCTGAGTCTCTTTCATATATTAGAAGCCGGCTTGTTTGCGGTTCTGCAGGCCAGTAAACAGCCCCTACAATTGCTCAACGCACGCCTCTTCATTCCATCTCCTTTGTTCCGACCCTTAGCATTTTACTTTAGCGAAAATCTGCTTCTTATCGTCAATCATTTACCATGGCACCACTAAACAAGTCCATCAACACCTACCACTGCATTCAGGGCCTGTACTGGAGGAATGCCTCTGGTGAGCTCCTGGCGGTCGAAGGCAGTAACTCCAAATCCTTGCCAGAAATCTGGACACAATTAAAGGATATCGTTTGCTCCACAGAGAGGCAATGGGCCCAGCTCAATCTTCCCTCTGGCAAGTCCATCAAGACTCTCCAGATTACAGCCGATATCCCTGCTCTTCTTAACATTCGTTCGAATTACCCTCCCTCATATCAACAAGAAGAACTCTGTACCCAAGTATCCGAGATCGAACACGAGAATGGTCTCTTCTTAGGTATGCTGACATCGAGGCCGAAGTCTGTCAAAGCCGACGGCTTCGGGGTATGGGCAGAGCGCTTCATTCTTCTAGAGACTGAGTTCCAGCCATTTGCGAACATCTCAGCATCGACGACGCCATGGGCAGCAAAACACCGAGAGACATGTGCAACGATAGCCGATATCTTCGAACGTAGACTCAAAAACGTGTCCAGGGACGACCAATGGCATGTCTGTGGAAAAGAAGCTTTCTTAAACCGCGTCTACGGCTACGTCGACAAGAACCTTCCCATCCAGCTTGCCTTACCTGCCTTCCCTTGCAAATCGCCCAATCCGAATAAAGTTGGGGGCATCATGCCAGATCTAGCTGAGCATATCGCCATGGACGCACTCCATGAGTTCGTCAAGGAGGTCAATACGGTTTACGAGCCTGGTGCGACTATGTGGGTTATCAACGATGGCCACGTGTTCTCCGATTGCAGTAAGTCTTCCCTAGACGCTATCTTCTAGGAACAGTACTAAGCATAGATGACAGTCGGTGTTGACGATGAGATGATCGACACATACGATGCTTGCATGGCTGCGATATACAAGGAGCGCTATCCGGAAGATGTCGGCCCTGTCCCGAGCATCAAGTTCAAGGGCCTGAAGAATATCTTCTCTGCTGACTCTGAGGGCTTCCAAGGTCTCCAGAAGCTGCTCCTTAACTCTCATCAGATGCCGCACCCTGTGAAGACCAAGCTCACTGGCGATGCCGAGCTTTGTCGCAAGCTGATGTTGGGGATTGGAGGGCCTGACCGTGCGTATATCCGTCAGTTGATCGAAAAGCAGGAGCCCGATGCTCTTGGTCTCTACCGCGGCCAGACTCGCTTCATGTTGGAGGACCTTGCAGACATCCCTTCAGTCAAGTCATTGAGCGGCAAACAAAAGAAGAAGACTGCTGCTCTTGTCGCTGAAGAAATGATATCTCGCAACCAAGCCTACTCAAACCTGACTGAGCTTCTGCTTCCCAACTACGTTCGTTTGTCCATCCACGCACACAACAATGCAGGCCCCAAATTCGCGATCCGGCTTTTACCAGCAAACATGGTTCGCGCAATCGACTCTCTGGAGACGCGTCTCGAGCCAAATCCGGTCTACGAATACCAGCTTCCGACACCCTGGCACAACTGCATGATCAAGGTAGAGGGCGACGAGTTCATGTATCTGGCTAAGGCTCAAGTGGCCAGAAAAGCACTGGAAAGTCCAGACTTTGATGGCTCTTGGGTTGACGGTCCAGATGGATCGTACTTCAGCTTGAAGCGCAAATCGGCCGCAACGAAGGATGCTGTTACGCTTCCCGAGCTTATCATCCCGGGATCTACCCCCACAGAGAAGATCAGTGTCTTCAATCAGAACAAGAAGAGCACGATCGTGCTCGTCACACCCATCACCGAGAAGAAGCGACCCATTATCATCTGTTCGCCTGTCGTTGGCAAGAACAGCCCAATTGTGGTCACGTCGCCCACCGCAGACGGACAGAGACCTATCGTCATCTGCTCGCCCGTTGGTCGCAAGCAGGCCATGTTCTCACCGATCGCTGATAAGATGCGCTCTCCTATCGGTTCCCCCATTGTGCGTAGGAAGACATCCGTTATCGCGTGCGATCCCGCCGCAGGCAAGGGTGCTACCGTCACCGTCTCACCCATCGACCCGAGTCCTCTTAGGCGACAGGATACGCATTTTGTTCAGTCGAAGGAGAAGAACAGGTTGCGCAAGCTCATTCCAGTCATCTCCATGCTTCGTTCGATTCGGTCGCAATCTTAGGGTGCGCATAGTGGTTCCGCTGCAAGTTGCGCTTTCGCATTGTCTGTTTCTGCGCTTTCATTAGCATGTTGTAATTTATGAAGTATGGTGAGATCGTCACCTATATTGATACCTCGATTCCAATGCGTTCGGCGTTTGGGCGCAAGGGCGCCTCTTAGGTCATCTATTCATGAAATAGCGAGTCAGGGTTCGACTCACGATAGTTGTATACAATTTGTGGCTTTAGTGTATTCAGTGCTGAGCGTATGGTGATGACATGATTGCTGTGCATGGATGAGCGGGCAATTAAGACGCGATCGCGTTCGTGGCTCGGGCATTTCCCCACACCCCACACGGACCGTCTGCACTGGTGTCTTTCTTCGCCTATCTACTATTATGGTATATCTGACATTGTCTATGCAGGAACTTGCGCAATCTAGCGCAACACCAACCACGCATACCTGCGAAAAAGATGAACATATTCGACTCCTGAGCAAGATTGTATGACAATGCTAACGCGATCCAGCTCTTTGCCAACACGCTTTTGTGAAGCTTTCCCACCACACCTTCGCCGACCCTATGAGTATTCTCATCGCAGATTGGGAATTCACCGATATAGAAATGTGGCTGGACGCCTTTCCCCATATTTCATCAAAAACTTCGTGTGATCGCAGGCTTTGGGACTGGCCAAGAGTTCCATATTGTTTGTGATAGAGTGCACGAGACGAACACCTGATATGTCTACGTGACTCAATCGTGGAAGCTTCAACATACAATTGTGTATGTGACCAATATGATTCAAATAGCCTCAAATTGCATGGTAAGACTATTGTCTAGCACTTTGCTCAACAAATCTCACAAATCTCACATACACCATGGGTGGCCTTTTACAGTTCATCTGGCCTATTGTGTCTCTTCTCTCTATCCCCCTCGTCTCAGCAGTTTGTAAGAGATCACTAATTAGGTTGGAAAGCTAAGAAAAAGGCTGACTTTATCAGTGTCGAATACGCCCGTACCGCGCACCTATGGCATCGTTCTCTTCCGCATGTTCGACATGCTTGATGTATACGGTCCATCAGAGATCCTTCAATTCATCGGCGGATCGTACCCGACAAACATTGTGTACATCGCCGAGACCCTGGAACCAGTCACCACGCGCCCAGTAATGGCTGCGATGAATCCACTGAACTCCTCCGTGTATCCATCTCTCACGCCTACACACGTGTTCGAGACAGCACCGGACCTAGACGTTCTCATTATTCCTGGCGGTCCGGGATGGCGCAACCCAACAAGTTTGAACGCTACTATGGCGTACATCAGGGAAACTACACCGAAAGTCCGACAAGTCCTCACTATATGTACAGGGTCAGCTCTGGCGGCTCGTGCTGGTATACTGAATGGCAAGAGAGCTACTGCGAACAAATCTTCCTGGCCAACGACAGTAGCAGCCAATCCGAATACAACATGGGTCCCGTCTGCTCGATGGGTGGAGGATTATTCAAGCTCACCGCCTATCTGGAGCTCATCCGGAGTCACAGCTGGCATCGATATGATGCTGCATTGGGTTGAGAAGACGTATAGTGCAGAAAACGCAACAAACATTGCGCGATTCATCGAGCATGTGAGGATTACAGATCCAAGCATTGATCCATTCGCCAGGAATGAGACTGTGGCTGAGCAGGCATAACAGTCTGGTGGTTCAACAAATCATGACTAGAAACAACACTGATAACAGTGAGATACCCTTTTAGTTGGTCTTCTGTCGTACCAACACCGCCAAAGAGTCTTTACCCAGCCAATCTGCCTTGACGTTATGTGACGTGATCTATGTAAGCCACGTTGGCCCACACAGGACTGCTCTTTGAGACAAAGATTTCTCAGTGTTGAGAGCCACAACGCACTGATATCATCGCAAGCATACCGGAGTTTTGTCGCTTGGCCAATTTGTCGTTGCATCCAATACGCACAATCGCATGCTCATATGGCCCAACCCCTGCAGTAGTTCGTCCTCCCCTTACCCTTGCCAGACTGGCACCCATATCACCGGGATGCAGCCGTACGATATTCTGCTGCGCTTGCAATATAAGTCCATATATCGCACGTTGACTTGGAGGTATTCTGCCTGTAAGCTGCAGTCCCAACAGATGCACGCAAGCGGCCCGTTCCCCTCGTTTCACCAACAAACATCCACCACCTGTATGGATCCAACATCTCGCTGCATTTCAAGACCTGTCAGGCCGTGTCGACTTTTATCTTCACGCAGGATTCGGAAGGCGTGAAATGTGCTCAGAAACCTTCTCACCTCATTCGACCTCTAGACCTATTCCGGAATAGCTTTCTGCAGGTCGCCCCTGCTTGTCAAGTCTCAACGACCACCACCACCGGGATAAGCGGGTCTCTTGCTGCGCTATCTTACGATATGGTAGGCTGAGATGGTTGTGTGAGGTGTTCACGCAAGGCTGTATTTGGTGGACGGTCTGTGAGCACCACGCCACGTCGTGATGATGACCGTAGAAGCTTTCTGGGCCTGCGAAGTGCACAGAAGGTTGCATCACCCGAAAAAAGGCATAACTGCCGTGCCTTCATTGATATTTGATACATTCTTATCTTGTGTGATTCCCATTCTGCCGTAAACCCTCCTCAGTTTCCCCAGCTCCTGAACGTAAACCACGTTGTGGTGATTACTGCTTCCTTTCAACATCTATCGCGCTTGGAAACTTGCTCATAACTTGCTCAACCTTACTTGAGACGCATTATTGAAGTAGATTAATTCCTTGCGTTCTTCCAATTTCCCAGTAGGTTCCCAATCTTGTGCAGTCCCTACGATATAACTTTGAACCCTCTTCTCACCTCCTTCCATGCAGGCGCAAGCAATCATGTCAATGGATATGGGTATGTCGACGGCTCCAACAAGCACAGGCATGGCTATGCCGAGCATGACTATGACACCGACAGCCAGTGGCATGATGCCTATGGAAACCTCATCAGGCGGTATGGGTGGTATGGATGATGCGATGGACATGATGGGTGGATGCAAGATCAGTGTAAGTCCCGTTCCGTGTACGTGCGCTATAGAGAGCCCCAGCTAATATACGTATCTCACAGATGTTATGGAACTGGAACGTAATCGACACATGCTTCATCGCAGAGTCCTGGCACGTTCGCTCCAAAGCCATGTTTGCCGGTTCCTGTATCGGTGTCGTCCTCCTTGTCATCCTTCTCGAGTTTCTGCGCCGCGCAGCCAAAGAGTACGATCGCTACATCGTCTCACAGTATTCTAAGAAGTTCGTTCCCTCAACAATCGGCTCCTCTGCCTCTTCTTCATCAAGCAATGACGGCACGACTAAGACTCCCGCCACTACAACTACATCCGCTGCTCGAGCACCTACACCCACCACAACAAGCAAATTCCGACCGAGCGTTATGCAGCAGGCGATTAGAGCGGCACTGCACATGTGCGCATTTGCCGTGGCCTACTTCGTTATGTTGTTGGCTATGTATTACAACGGATACTTCATCATTTGCATTTTCATCGGTGCATATCTGGGCTACTTCATCTTTGGATGGGAAAGCTTCAACCTCAGCAGTGGCGGCGATGACCGTATGCAGGAGAACGCTACGGTCTGTTGCGGATAAAAAGACATGATATGGTCGATTCAGTATCGCACGGTTGTTGTAGTATCACATAATTTGAAGATGTGCGAAGGAACAAAGACTTCACAGGATGGAAGAAACACTCGCTACGCGAATATTGTGTTGGAATAATTGAATTTCTCATCTGGTATCACTTGAGCGTCCTAACGCCCCCCTTCCCCTAGTGATCGCATGTTTTCAAGAATCAAGTAGATACGGTTTGTTCGAAACCATCTGCGCAGGATTAGTGTACTGATATGTGTGTAATATGACACGACTTCACTCACCTTGTCACGCTCTCTGCGCATCCTCGCCTCGCAGTTAGCTGGCTTATTTACCCTACAAGTCGTCAGTATAATTTCCATAGTGGATAAGAAGGTATGACATACGGGGCAGCCATCGCAGGTGCAAGTGGAGCCGCAGTTGCAGCTACCGGAAGCACAGCCGCAGTTACCCTTCATATTGATGGTTGTTGGGAGGTGGTTGTTTGGTTGAAGAAGGTTGTTATAGTGAAGATTGAATTGGTCTGGGATATGAACTTGATTGTTGTGGTGTAGAAGATCATAACAGAAGGTAAGCAACAAAGTCTTTATATACCCAAAGCATGCGCGACTTGTGCGGCAGCAAGGCAAACGCAGGGCAATTCGTGCCACCCCTTCCCTGGGGCAACGCCGTCAGCGGCGGCTCCCGTCCGTGGGCTTCAGACAATTTGCCCCGCATCACACCGTGTTTGTGGCAAGATTGACTATAGGCTTTGGCCTCACTGGTTGACATCTCCGTTTGGCTCCATGCGCCTCCTGCCCACTATTGGCTCCCACTCGTGTGCGTACATTGTGCGATTGATTGGGTGGGGCGTGAGGGACTTGTGCGGCGATCTGGCCGGTCTTCTAGAAAGCGCCAGGGCTTGCCGCGGTGAAAAGTGGAGTTGCGTAGTTTGTGCGGATGGATGCCAAGGGATCCGGACCGTAATTCAAGCGGCATTCGGACCTTATGTCCTCTTCCGTCCCGCGACAAGGGACATGAGCGTCATGAACATGCTGGGCGAAACAAGTGGGATGATTAAACTTCCGGGTTTTGTGGCCATGTTGTCCTTCAACATTTGCCCAAGCTATGCAAATGAATAGAGGATGCGTAGGGAAGTCCCAATCAATACCTCGGTAAAGTCTACCATGAAGGGATAAGTAGAATCTTACGCTATATCTCTCTATGAAAGTCGATAGTGTTTACCATGAGAGTCATTTCTGGGGATGGATTCAATCCACCAAAATGCGCTGTTTCGTACCTCTCAAGCTGGGTAAGCTCATTTGAGTTCTTTCAACCAACAAACTTGCCACCGCAGTAGACGCAAGCATCGCAGGCAAGGAATAATACTCGAGCCAACGTAACAGGAATCTGCCTCCTTTCGTACAGTCCGTCCTCGTCTTCCGGGTCGTCGCTTGCTTGGTCCTCGTCCATGTCTTGTTCAGCTACACTTTCCCGATCCGCTCCATTCAATGAACCACTGTCCCTGTCTTTTCTACCGTTCGCCTCTAAGAGTTCTCCATCTCTTGTCACATCAGCCATAACTACATCGCCTCCAGTATCTAGACTCTTCTTGCTGTCCACATATTCCTGGGCCATGACACACTCATCACTCAAGAATGGAGTATTACATATGCCACAATATTTGGTAATACCTGGTGCTTGGATGGCCAGAAAACTCAATCCGCATCTGGGGAACTGATGGCCGTTGGTGCAAGCTGCTGAAGCAAGGTCTGTGAAGGGTATAGGGGCCGAGCAAAAGTCACATGTGTCTGCTGTTGAGGTTGCTGATGTTTGATCCGTCGAACTGCTGCTGTCCATCACACCAGTAGTGACTGTTGGAAGATCGTTGTCTTCCAATGTATCGTTGTGGCTCATGGCCATGTTAACGAGAGCAATGAGTTGCTTGTGATGTATGACGATTTCTGCACTGAAGGGAGTATTTGAGAGCGATAGAGGAACCTGTTGCAAGGCATGAGCGAGACGATACGCGATAAGTGTCCTGAACAGGTCTTTCTGGATCTGTGTCTTGTATGCTTCAGATACGAGTAGAGTGTAACGGTCCTTCAGTATATGCGCGTCGAGAAAGGCAGACAGTTTGAATTCCCTTATGAGCGAGTCGAGATTGTTGACATCGGAGTACGCTGTCGATGTCTTTGCGCTGTTCTCGGGTCGAGAAGGAGTTGTATAAGTCTTGACGAGCTTCATAACCATCTCTTCTGCGAATGCAGGCATATCATCGGGATCCTCGACAGCCCCTTCTGCCAGTTTCTTAAGACTGTACGTTATACCCTCAGCGGTGACGTCCTCGTTTGGAAATATATCTCGCCGCTGGCTACCACGTCGCAAGGAGCTGATCGCCACGGTGCCGCTTCGGTCAGCCGGAATGCCATACTCGATCATATCAGAAGGATGTACGCTGTTGCATGCGGCGATGAAGTCGCCTAGAGGTGACCTTGTTAGACCCCACACTTTCGCTTTGCTATTTCCTTTGAGTCCATTCTTTATACTGAAAAGCGCCAAGTTGTTCTCAATCTTCTCCCGCCAATTTGGAACACCAAGACTCTTCAGGCCATCGTATGTCTCCTCAAGAACAGCGGTCGGATTGTGGAGGGTCGATATCAGTGAGCTTATGTGTAGGCGAGGTGTTACTGTTTCGGTCATATCCCAGACTACACCAGAGATGGGGTCCCATCGGCCGTCCAGATCATGCGTGCTCTTTGTGATAATAGAAGCGTCGAGGGCTGATATCGTCAAGTATACCAGCTCCGTGTTCGTGAAAAGGGCAAGCTTTAGTCTGCTTCCGCTCTCGGGCTTGTCGAACCACTTCATTGGCCCATCGTATCGGAGTACGTAGCCTGTGTAGATGACTTCATTGTCCAAGGTCATACGCCCATTCGTGTACGTGATTGCCTGAGCCCGTACGTCTTCATTCGTAGCGTATACGATTACGGAATGATGGGAATCGTCACGAATGATCCAAGGACTCCATGCAATGTGTGAAATATACCTTTGCTGTTTAACCATGTCTTC